CCTTCAGATCTCCGAGCGAGAGAATGAAACAAGGAGTGAGATGGGAGGAGGAGGAGGGAGAAAGAGCAACAAAGAGGAGAGGAGATGAAAGGGTATTTCTTCAGGAGGAGGAGGAGACCTACAGTCTTGGATTCGTTCAGATTTAACAAAGGCGTGGGGAGCTTCAAGATTGTTTTCTCTCTCCCTTAAAGGGAAAATCCACTGTCAAACCGGAGCCGCACATCAATGGCTGGTGACAGACTTTTAACTCCAATCTGACTGATATTCCTGGGTTCTATTCAAGGTGTGTGTCAGCTTTTATGCATGCAAAATCCATTGTAAAATTTGAGATGAATAGGTCCATTTGAAAATAATTATTCCTTAACATTCTGGTTTTCTTCCCCCAGTGGAGGTGTTCTCCTCCTTATAATCTGGGACAGTTGAGTCCATTTTACCATTTATTAGCCCTGAGATGTCAGCGACATCAAAGCAGCTTTCCAGAGCTGTTGGTAAAGGACTCTGGTTGGGAGCAGCAACATCTGCACTGGCTCCATGCCCAACCAGATACATTTCATCATGCTGTCTTTGGCCTGGATCATGCAGGTAAAGTTGAACTTATTGTATCATTTATATTTGACTAGTTTCAGGGTTCAACACACTTGAAATGAACTGGTTCATATACTGTATGTCGACCATGTTTAAAAGGTGAAAGTGTTTATATACTGATCTGAATGGCCACACTCAAAGACCCATTTGTCATTTCCTCCTCCGGCTGCATTCTACTTCCTTCACGATCTCTCTTCAAGAAACCCTTCTTTCACAAGTCTTTGTAGTCTCAACACAATGCATGGTACGAGTGTGCCGTCTCTCCTCCAGAGCTGTCATGGTGAGGCACTCGTTTGCACACACGGAACGTGACGGAGATAGCTGAGTGCAAAATGTAAAAAGAGAGCTTGAGAAAGAGGTTCACACCCTCTTTACTACTCCCTACACTTATGCATACCTGGTGAATTACTGTGTGAAATAGGTGTGATTGTCAGTTTTGAAAAGTTTATAATCTCCAGTTTTGAGTCAGAAAGGCGTTGGGTGTGAAGGATTCTCACGCTGTCGATCCGACAAGCATTCATATCGGAGGCCTTTAGGTTCACACTGTCCACTTACAAGTGAAGCATATCACTTCTGAAGACAATAACATTCATATTATCGGACAGAAAAGTCCAAACTTCTAATATGAGCCTTTTCTGATCTGATGCCAACATGTTGAATGATGTATATGGCTGTTTTTTAAGAGTATATTTAGGCGTAAAAATACTTCATTATGGTTAGTAAAAGAAAGAAAGGTAGCATCCTGACTGTCACCTTAAGTTCTGAGAAACTGTAACAGGCAATCTTTACAATTTCCTGATATTTTAAGGAAAAGAGGAAATAAATCGAGAAAATAATCAAATAATGACAGTAATCATTAGTTGCATCTGTAAAGTCTACCTTGTGACAGGATGCATCTGCATATGAGTTGCAAGCAGTTTCACTAAAGAGTGATTAACCCCTTTAAACTCAAGATTGTTTTACTTGACTGGTACTATTTTACATGAAAAACATAAATGTATCTGAGTTTTTCTTTATAAGGAGTACGGTCTAGACCTGCTCTATTTGAAAGGTGTCCTGAGATAACTATTAAAGTGATAGCTACCATAATATGAACAGTATGGCAAAATCTATTTTTGTGTTAATGTATAATATTGTCATATCGTCCAAACCCACATAAACACAGGTTGTTTTAGTCTCAAACTTTGAAGTGGTGCAGCTGAGTGAACTTGTCAGTTCTCTATTTATCTGGCGTTCACACCAGCTGAGAACAGCTAAAGGAAATAGACCTTGCTTTATTATAGACCATGCAATCATAAGTCAAGGAGAGTCTTCGAGTTTTCATTCTCACCTCCGCCTACAGGTGAAGATCTAATCCAGTTTCACCTTTCAGCCGATCAACCCATCCGCAGCTCTGCTTTATTGTTTTTTTAATCAGCTGTTTCTTGCACAGTTCTGTTCTGTGCTTTCTGTCCTGTAAAACAACATTTTTCGGTGCCAGCTCCCAGTTTCCCATCAGGACCAGCAGACAGCAGCAGCAGTGTGATGGAGTGGTGGCAGGGGGAGGGTTACATGTGTAGACACCCTGAGCTTGCTGTTGAGCCCTGAGCAGCTCCACTCCAGCAGCGGGGGGTTAAGTACCTTGCTCTAGGGCCCTTCCATGGTGGCTGCTGAGGGACAGCAGCGTGTGTCACTTTCCCCGCTCGGATTCTCCCCGCTGGAATATGGATTCAAAACAGCAACACGGTTGCCAAGTTATTGTGCTCCCACTATAATACGTAGTTGAACTGGAGAGGCTGACAGTATATACTGTGCCTCCTACAATCCTTCTTACAATTCTAGCACTATGTAAAAGAGCCTAAAAATATACTGTAGTCAACAGTATTTATCAGCACATAAAACCTGTAGCAAAACATGTCTGATAATGTTTTAAAAACGAATGAATCTATCTATGGATCCAGAAGAGTTTCCTGAGGTTTCATGGGCATCACCTTACATTCACACGTACTAAAGCCAGAAACGACCATGTCAGCATTTGGACAGCTGCATTGCACTTTTAAAGCACTGCTCTGAAAAAAAAAAAAGAATACCCAGCACAATATTTAACCAGCGTGTGTGTGTGTGTGTGTGTGTGTGTGTGTGTGTGTGTGTTAATGAAACATGCTTCATGTATAATGTTTTTAGTCATGCAAACCTGCAGAAGCTTTCCTCATTTTTATTCATTCAGAGGGAATTTCCTGAACATACATACAGCGGGGAGGCTGCGGCTCAGCAGGTAGAGCGGGCCGTCCACTAATTTCAGCGTTGGCGGTAAACGGGTGAATGAGAGGTGAAATTGTAAAGGGCTTTGGATTAAAGCGCTATATAAATCCACACTGTAGCCTGAACTGGGAGCAGGCCAGTGCGACCAGGGTCCAAGCTGACAAGCTGTTCTGAATTTTCAAATTGCCTTTCATTTGTCTAACTTTTGTACAAATGTTAAATTAAATTCAGAAAGGTATAACTTCCATCAAACCGACAGCCCCTCAGTCGTCTTTTAAAACCTACGGCATCTTTCGGCCTCCCTGGTGTTAAAAGCCTTTAACTGCACTTCTCCTCATGTGAGCCTTTGTTCTTATGTCCTCTGCTGTAAATGAAATGACTTCACTGAGGGCTGAAATGTAAGGCAAGGCAATATTGTACCGTATGGGTTATTATGGCTGCAACTAACAATTATTACAGATTATGTATGTATTATGGATTTTTTCAGCCTGATACTGATCCTATAATATGCAGGCCAATGGTATTTTGTAACATAAACAATCTTCTACAATAATTTTTTTTTATAGTAACCAAGATACATAGTGAGACATTTTTCAGCATAAAAATCAACTTCTGTGCTCTCATACTACCGGCATGTAAAGGTGAGATTATTTCTAAATGATCTCACACTGGCCAGCATGTACACTAACACAGTATATCTGCAATAAGCTAATATCGGCCTATTGTTCTATTAATCGATTAATCGTTTTGTCTATAAAATGTCAGACAAAGTGAAAAATGCCCATCACAAGTTCCAATAACCCAAGGGGACGTCCCTTAGGACTTGCGAAATCACGAGATCACCCAAGAATCCATCCTGCCGGGCTTCAATCTGTGCGTTTGTGGTTAAACCACAGTGGTACCTTAGAGGAAGTACCGGCAGCCACAGGGGGGACACAGCGAGAAGATGCTGTTCGTTAAACAACAATGGCGGCTCAGGTAGAGGTTAGCGAAGATGCTGCTAGCGTCTCAGAGCTGGAGAGTCGTTCTTCAGTGAAAGAGGAGCAAAGAACGACTCTTCTCCCAGCTGGCTTCAGTAAGAGCTGTTAGATGGTTAATTGATCTGATCTGATTGGTTGAAGTTGTAATAGACGCTGACAAGTGTCTGCCTTTTTCCAAACAGTTTCCAATCACAACTTCCCAGATGGTTCTGTGTAACAAACCATCAGGTTCATATAAAACAGAGACATTGCAGGGAGATTCTTCAAATTTAAGAAGGCTGGAACCAAAGACTGTTTGGTGATTTATTTCCTTTAATAAAGATAATTAATAGATTTGTGTGATCAACTAATCGATTTATGGATAAAAAAAAAGGAGTCACTCTACAAACTCTATACCAACCTGCGAGCAGCGACATGTCAGACTGAGCAGGGGCCACTCCAGCACAATAAATCATCAATTTAATGAATTTGTGGAACATTACTGGAGGTTATGAACAAGAGGAAGCAAATCAGTTTTAGAGCATTTCCAAATCTCCACTGCTCCACTGCAGAGCTCCACAATCAACACACACATCCAGCACTGAGGTCCCACTGACCTCCCGAAATAACCCAAACCCAACTTCACTCCTTCATTGTGTGTCCATGACTGTGCCACTCACACAAACTCTGGGTTATCCAAGGAGACACTGAACTGCCAAACTTCTGTTACCTAATATGAGGACGCAATTCATTCACGTTGTCTGGTTTCATCCCGCACATCACTGCTGCTCACCCTGTCACCGCTCTGTCACACAACCCCCCCTCCCCCGGTGCGGTCTCACGTTCAAATCAAACATTCCTTAATATCACAATGAGACTGTAAAAGCCGGCGTTGTGCTGCGTGCGTGTGTTTGAGTGCGTGTGTGTGTTTGTGTGCGTGTGTGTGTGTGTGTGTGTGTGTGTGTGTGTGTGCGTGTGTGCAGGCTACGTCTCAAGCAACAACGGCAGCTTTACGGTGACAAAGAAAGACGGGTTTGCACGATTTCTCCGGGACTCACTTTTGGCAGCCTCTCCATCTCGGAAAAAATAAAATGAAATAAATAAATAAATAAACAATGTCCGTTCATGCTTCTTTAAAACCTTCTCACATCCAAATACACACATACATAACAAAAAACCCCACAGTGGGAATAAAGCAGAGTGCGCAGGACTTACCATGGTTGTTCAAGCTCCCAGTCTCTGAAAAAGTCGAATTCAAAGAGATCCATTGGCGCTCCGGCTGCTGCTGCTGCTGCCGCTGCCGCCGCTGCCGCCGCTGCTGCTGCTGCTGGTGGTGGTGGTGGTGGTTAAAATCCAAAGCTGGTGCTACGTGGTTCTACATGGGCTACTGATACTGAGAGTGTGTGAGTGTGTCAGAGAGGAGGGAGAGTAGACACAAGCGGCTGCCGCTGCCAGGAAGCTGCTACGTGGTCGAGGCAAGCTGACAGGCGGCAGAGGTGGAGGGAGGGAGAGAGAGAGAGAGGGAGGGAGAGAGAGAGAGAGAGAGAGAGAGAGAGAGAGAGAGAGAGAGAGAGAGAGATTTATATACAAACACACACTGGAAAAGGCTGTGGAAGACAACTCACACTGAGATATTCACTGCAAACATTTCCCCTTCATAACAAGTACAGCTATTTATACTGCACGGATCTTACAGAAATAAAGCCCGGCGTCATCCCCCGTAAATGTGTCACTAATGTCAAACTGTGACTAAGCAACAGCTGGACAATGGTTCTTAAATGTTTTTCTTAAAAGTGCACTTGTGATTATGCACGGTTATTAGAGAGGACTTGTGATCTAATTAAACAGGAAACCACATGTTTCAGTCAATGAACTACACACCTCTGACTTCACCTCTGCTCTGAGGACTATTAGAGACCACCTCTATATGTTCTTGTGAGTCAGACACTTGAGAATCTGTCACCTCTTTGCACCTTTTCAGACTCGACCAGGTGCACTAACTCACTGAGCTATGAGGAGTCTTTGTTCAGTGCAAGGTTTGTATATAAGGTGCAGGGCCGTAGCAAGATTACTGAGAACCGAATAAAATTTGGACAATTTCATTATTCATCTCTCTGTTCATTCAGTAAATCTTCTCCCTACATGCCCCTGTGGATTAAATTATTATATTTTAATCTAATTTTACAAGTTTCATTTTATATTTATTTAGTCTAAAAAGGACCAGAAACAGCCTTCGAAAATCCACCATGAATAATCAGAGGTAAAATTAGAACGTTGAAATTCACAATACCGAGGACGAGACCTTGATGTCCTTTTATGCCCCTGGTGCAGAGCAGTAGTAGTTCTACGTCTATCTGATCACTTTAAATCACAGAGTAAGACTGCAGTACGGACAAACATCCCGTTCTCATGAACTAAAGTCAACTGCCATTTTTCTAGCCACAGAAACAAACTAATTGAAAGTGACCACACACTGATTAAAGCTCCTCAACTTCACTGGACTGAACTGGCTTTATTTTGGCCCAACCAGGTCTCCATTAGTCAAACATCAACGTTCCTCTCTAACAAGGTCCTAAAAGATTTGTGTTTTTACTGGATGCTGTGAAATATTGTTCAGAATTGGGACTTGGCTGGTCATCTGCAATAGTTACATTTCCATTGTTGTTGCATGTTTCCTCTTTATTCCATTATTTTATAGCCAGCGGATGTATTCCCCAAAACAATTTATGAGATCTCAGAATGCAGCAACACTGCTAAAAAAAAAAGAATATATAGGTCCACAGGGGGGCAAACACCAACAGTCAAACAATCACACAGGCTGAAGACAAATAAAAAGTTTTTGCTCGATCTGCTGCCGTTTTATTTGGAAGTGGAACCAAACTAGAACTTAAAGCACAACTACGGCGAGTAATGTGGGTCAAAGTTGAGCCAGGATGTCGGGCTGTAAGCTTTGGTGGATGTTTATGACGGACATGTTCTCAGCAGTTACTTTCATCTTATAATAACCTATAGACCCAGTTGCCTTGGTTACCAAAATAAACCCAGTTACCTTTAATATATATGTTTCGTGAATATATGGAAGTATGTTTAATCATTTGTACGACAGCAGCTATTGGATTTTGATCATGTATCTTGCATGCCTTCATTTGAAAGTGTATCCATCCACATATGCTGTTTATTGTTTTGTTTGATTGGTTACATCAGCATCATATCAATATATTTGCCATCACCTTACCCTTTGTCATGTTTTGCCAAAGATCACCACTCTATTATTCGTATTTACAATTCTGTGAACTGGTTTGCACTTATTCATTTAGACAAATTCAGTTAAGTCTTATTTACTGTCACGCGTTTCCACAGTAATCTGCTCTGTGTGCTCTATTTCCATTGTCGTGTTTGATTTGTTTTAATGGCATGCACCTGGTGCTTCTTTTCTGTTCAAACCACACACTCGGTTGAATGGTGATAAAGAAATCAGCTGAAACGTTTGTGTTTGTGTTGCTCTTCTGGATTACAAAAGAATGACACTGCAAAGATTTTTTACTGGCAGTGTGTAAGTTTAGGAGGATCTATAGGTAGAAATGGAAGATAATATTCATAAATATGTTTTCATTAGTGTATAATCACCTGAAAATAAGAAGATCCAACTAAATCCTACACACTAGTCCTTTAAAATGTTGCTTGTTAAGTCCAGTAAAGTGCAGAAGCTATAATCCACTGTGTGGTTACTCTCTGCTTTTCCTGTCACTGAATCTGCTTCTCTGCACCTGGCCTAAATATAGGATCGGATGTCCAAACAACTGCTCCTCTGTATCTTCAAAACTGTAGCCTCCAGAACAGCCGCAAGTCAGATCTATCTTTCTCCTCTTCTGTCCATTTGCTATAAAGCAACGACAGTATATTCATTTATGCAATTTACTGATGGTTACATTACAGGATTTTTAAAGATCCCTCCTAGACGTGCATTAAGTCATATATACCCTTAAAATCTGATTTTCAGTGAGTACAGAGAAAGAAAAGAGAAGTACTTTCCACTCTCAGCAGATGAATGTGAAAACATCCTTCTAGAGTCAAACTCTGCACATGCATCACTCTGCACAGAGAGGCTCAAACATCAGACTGTAGGAACAAGAAGAAAAACATATTTATGAGTGGAGGGGCACTTAAAGCTTGCACGTAACCCAGTTGCCCCTGTAATTTACTGCCACTGGTGCAAAGTGAACTTGCAGCTTCAGTGAAATTATTTAGAAAGGCATCAAAGCCTGACCAGGTGGTCTTAGAACCCCTCACATACTGTATTCCTCACCCGTTTTTGTATCTTTATTCCGACCACTTCACCTTTGTTCGAGATCAGCCGCCGTCGCAGCGTGTTCAGCAACCCACCATCCTCACTCTCTACCATACACTTGCTGCAACACATGCCCAGCAGCACGTTTTACTGTTTACGCCTTGCTATGAATAATGATTGACCAGATGGTTGAAACTTCTCGCTCAGCATGTGCTGTAGCTGTAACTGTGGTTCCTTTGTGACATCACTGTCCTCTCCTTGAAAAAGCCCTCCCACGCAGAAGCCTGCGTGTTTTTACTTGTGATGAAAGAGCACGAGAAGTCCAAATGTATCGGAAGTAAGATTTGAAGATACACAGCGGGCTGAGTGTGTATGTGTGTGCTTGTGTCTTTGTTTTGGATGGTGTGTTGCTGTGTGCGTGGGTATTTTGGTCTGGTCCGGGGCAACATGCCAACACTGCTCTGCATCACACTACCACAAGTACAAACAGCAGCCTCAGATGAAGAGAAGAGAAGAGAAGAGAAGAGAAGAGAAGAGAAGAGGAGAGAAGAGAAGAGAGTTAATCATAGTGCATAATGGGAATAAAACACTGCCAGCCATAAGCAATATTGTCTGAAAGTGCTGTTTCATGACCTTGATCAATTCCAGCCATTTCAACCTCACAAATCAAAATTCCAGACATCTCTGGACCTTAAAAACACCACATCGAAATTCAACCAATTTTCAAGGATTTTAAGCACCTGCGGGAACAGTGGTTTTGTGTGTGTATATGTGTGGTATTATGTGTGTGTATGTGTGTGTGTGTGTGTGTGTGTGTAAGAAAGGCTGTCCAAAACTAGGTCAGACACTGAGAGACAGAGAATGACTGGAGAGAGGGTGAGGAAAGGATAGAGAGATATGGCAGAATTTAAAAAAGCAATTGTAGGATGAGCTGATGGAGCGTTAGATGACTAAAAAAGATAGAGACATTAAGATAAAATGTAATTAAGGGCAAACATACACGGAGAGCGACTCACATCAATTCAATTCCAACTCATTACACAATCTTTACTGCGACCAGAGTTGCTGTTTGTTTAGAGATTTCCCATTTTCTTCGTTAGTGTCTTTTGCAGTATTGTTAAAGCCACAGCTGTGCCAGTAATTTATATTTAAATGATGACACAGAGAGTTAGAGTTACACAGAGACACGGAGCCCAAAAGAAATACAAACTGATAAAATAGTCAGGAAGTTCTCAGATTTGAGCTCATTATACTTGCTGTGTATCTTGCAGAAGTTGAGAAGTGCGTGTCATGAATTTTCAATATGTGCCCAAGCTCCTCTCTCTCTCTCTCTCTCTCTCTCTCTCTCTCTCTCTCTCTCTCTCTCTCTCTCTCTCTTTCTCTCGCTGGTACGAGTCAACACAATACCACAGCTCCCCCATGTGGCTATAAACATGTATTACACTATTAAAAATGTTTAATCTTATTTTTTTTTAATCACACATTTAAAAAAATCTTGCTTCTTTGATTTCTTACTTAACCTTTACCCTCAAAATCCCTCTTCAGTCTCACTATCTGTGTCTTCTACCTCTGCAGTTCAATAGAAAAACCAGCAGTGTGACTTTGGCCAGAAAAATAGCAAGAATCTAAACCCCAGAGAAGACCATGAAGCCACCGTGAGAAGTTTGTCACCTGATCTACCAATCTTTAATTTTTTGAGACAGATGATATTACAAGTAAAAATAAGTTTTATTACAAAAGTGTACGAACATATCTCATCACTTACATTATATCTGGATCCTTTTAAGTGACCTTGTGCAGCTTTTAAGCATTTTGTGTTGCACGATACTTAATTTGTATGCTTCATCTGCCAAGTGGTCAGGGACTTTATACCGTCTATCATCATCACTTAGAACACTTATCCTGTCGAGGATTTTGGTCCTTGTCCAATTTCGTAAGTAGTACGGGGGCAGGACAGTTTGGTCTTGGCTCCTGATTGTCACTGTGCTCAGTAGTCCCACAAGGGAGCCTCGTATAATAGACTTTTATCCTGAGCATCCTTGTGGTCATTTCACTAATGGAAAAACATACTGATCCTATTCAAGGCCACAATGCTTTATCATACAAAGTCGTAATGAACGGAACACAGGTGTGTCCTTGAATTAACGATGAAAGGTAAGGACCCCTGAGGTCCAACTGGGCACCACAGTTGACACAACAAATTCTCAAGTTACAGTATAGTCGGCTATAATGGCCACATTTGGAGCAAGAAACAACAAACACACAGTGTTCGAGAACAATAAGGGCTCTTAAAGGTTTACTAATTAGGGTTTTTATATTAACAATGGATCCATTGACTGTGTAGTGTGAAAAAGTTGGAAAAACAGGCCTGGTTTTGGGACGCTGGAACACTGTTGATCCTTCTCAGTGTCGTGGACTCAACTTAAAAACACCAGTTATTGAAAGGGTGTCCATCTGATGACCCTGGCCCTGCCTGCACTCTTACTCTCACACACAAATTCATATTGAAACCATGTTCTTTTATCTGGTTGGAAAGGTCAAAGTTTCGTATTCCAGTGGGATTGCTATTAGTGCCTGTCGGTGAGTCTAGTGGAACCAGATACACAGGGAGGGTGGTTGGACAAGAGAGTGGGCCATGGCATTCACATGAGGTTACCTTTTAAAGCCAGTTGGGCCAGCCACTGTAGATAAGCCTGAGCAGATACAATGTAGGGATATAAGGCCGGGTCGAGTATCTGCTCTTTGCTTGTGTGAGTGTAGGATTTAAAGGCAGCTTAAGGATAAGTTAGATCAGAGTTGGAGAACAGTGTCAAAGAGGCCAGAAGATTTATGACGGCACAGCCTGATGTTCACCGCAGGGCCTGATAACAGGTTAAAACCATTTAACAAATAATACTGGGCTTCCAAAGGAATGCTCACTCAACTGAGAGTAAAATCTTGAAACTCATAAAATGCAGAGATCAGCCAGAGCTCACGGAGGAAGATCGACCTTTATTTATTGAAACTGCTTGCATACAAAATATATTGCACTATAACCAGACATGTCAACCCAAACATCTTAAATGCTAATAGTATGTACAAAAGGAAACAAAAAATGCCCAAAAGTGCACACAAGGTTTACAGCTTTTTTGACTACCCTGGTTTAAGTATACAGATTACAGATTCTCTGCGTGTCTTCACTTTCTGGCACTCTACTGCCGAACAGCCCCCACAGTAGAGTCTAGTTAGTATTTGTTGATGATATATACATTCTGCAAATAAATGACCGCTGAAATCTGCTGCAGACCGGCGAGCAACAACAAGAACATTTTTGGGTCATCTTATCTTGCGTTGGTTCCACATGAATCATGCTGCAACCCCAACTGGACTAAAGGATTAGTAAAGGCAGGATGCAAAAGGGTCATATGGGACACTGTTCCAGTTAAAAGGATTGAAAGTTTCTGAACTGAATTGGGAGTCCCCGATTCAAATTCTTATTCTTTGTGAACTATCATTGTATATGTGACATATGCAGTATCTGTTCTTGTTTAGCAAGCGTCTCTTCTGCGATGTCAAGTCAAAATCAAAGGTTTGTGGACGAGGTCGGGTCAGTACTTCAGTAACCTGACCACATTTGCAAGACAACACAACGCAGTGTTGTAGCTTTAAGAGTAAGAATTGTTTAATTCAGTCAAATGCATCGTTCAAATTTGAGCATCCCGTGGGGTTGGCAAAGAATGAACGTTATTCATGCCAAATGCAGATGAAATAAAGGCTAGCATTCCCCCTCTGCAACCCATTGAATCATGGGTAAAAAATACAGTCTATACACCAGAACATTAGAACAGCACGACAGCTGGATATCAAGAAAAGCCATTTGCTGGTAAACACTCTCAACAAAGAAAGATTTCAAGAGAAAACTAATCCTACAGCTATCATTAACATTGTCAACATGAAACTTCTCATTATGTGAATCGCTGCTAAAACCTATTTTCTGTAAATCAAAATCAAAAAAGCAACAAATCTCTAGTCCAATCCCTCCATCTCGCTCCATATAATCAGTTGATAACAGACATTATAGTTGGAACAAGATACATTTTTGAGAAAGCATCTGTTGATAAAATGAGTTTACAGAATATACAGGACCAATCATCCATTTTAATATGAAAAGTTTCATGTGAGTAAACAGTGATTCACTATTTAAAAAAAAAGCAATAATCTTTCAGAATCTGTCTTTAAGGATTATACAGTTTTGGTAGTGCCAGTCTACTTTATGGAGTACCAAATTACACGTTATAGTACTGTTCTAATGTACTGGAGAGAGAGGATTGCATTGAGGACAGTCTCATGCCAAAACAACAAACAGAGTGCAATCAGTAGCATCATAAGAACAGCACATCTGCAAAACTTGGATGTCCTCAGTGTTCTTCATGGTGCCATTAGGTATTACACCTTACTCTACCAGCATCAAGCCAAATGTACGCAGCTTGATCCTGGGAATTGAATGTGCGATCGAAGCTGTTCCATTTTTCAAACTTAGATTTGGGATCCCAAAGGGTTCACAAACCTGTTTCTAGTGAATGTATGTTTCCCTGCAGCTTTCCTTATGACCACATTTGCAATGTTTTCCAACCAACCTGAAAAGCTACATTTCTTTTCCTGCCATGATCTCGACTGTACTCATCGTTTCGTTTTCGTGGTGTGCCACTGGAAAACAGCAGGATGGGATAATGATGTCACAACCGGTCAGTTATAGGAGACTCTTAACCAAAGTCCCAATTGTACTGTATAATGCTTCCTTAGCACCAATTCTTTAATGAACTCAACTGGTCAGCATGCAATAGTCCCCGCTCATCTTTTTTTTATTGTACACTTTCCACTATATAGTACAAGCCTTGGCCTAGCATTACGGTTTGTTAGTAATGCCCCTAAAAATCAAACCAAAGCATGAAAAAGCCATTAAACTGCTTTTGTTGGTTCGACTCCAGCTGTTAAAAAGTCTAACATACACTCTTAACCTGGTGTTTGGAGGCACAATAAAATACACCAACAAGCAGGTTGAAGCACAGCCACAGATGCAAAGAAATTCATCGTCTCTGGCGTGACACAACAAAGCTGATGTGAAGGTTGGACCATTGTAGTCCCAAGGTCTGTAACGCCACTAGTCAAAAAGAAAAGAATAATAAAATGTTAAGGGAATCTAATTGAAACACTCATTATTCCTAACTCTGGTGACTGAAAAAATCCACCATAAAACATTATTCACATTGGTTACCTCAGTATGGTTCGTACTAGAAGGTAGACCAATATCTGCTTTCTTTGCAAGGTTGAAAGAATTGTATATATAGAATCGGATGACAAAATTGATACCACTCTCATGTCCAGGAGCCAGGAGATGGTTAGCTTGGCTTGGCATAAAGACTGGAAGCATGTGGAAAAAGCTAGCCTAACTTCCTTACAGATGTAAAGGTCACTAATAAACAAGTTGTATCTGATTTGTTGAATCAGTACACAAGCAAAAATGTAAAAACAATGGTAAAACTACCAGAACGTTTTACATTTCTGTTGGTGAAGTAAACAAATGAAATAAGTGTTGGTGAAAATGTTTTAAACTGGTTATCAAACAGCCAAATACCGATGCTACCATTTGACCTGCACAAACAAAAAAGACGACCAGCGAGAATACAAGCTATTTCTATATAGTTATTCTTTAAACCTGCCACCGGCTCGCATTCGGTCGGATTCCCCTTGAAATCAATGAAACAAGGGAGTGTGGAAACACTACCACTTTTGTCCACAGGGGCCGCCGGAATCAACACAAAATCAAAGTTCCTTGTAGCTGCTTTAAGTGGTGATGGTATGTATTTTTGAATTGCGAGAGAGCCAGGCTAGCTGTTTCCCTAAGCTTCCAGTCTTTATGCTAAGCTAATATCGTATTCCCAAAAATGTCTATTTATTCTTTCAAACCGTAACTACTAATAATAATTTGGGGGGGGTTATCTTAAAATGACACTCCACTTGTTAGCGTCTTTCTGCGCTTTTAAATACATCTCATGATTCTCTTTAACGTGACCTAAGAACAGAACTTTGGTCATGTGATAACAGGTGGTTGTATGAGAAAATGTCATCTGCAGAGGAAGACCGTGAGATGTAGCTGAAGGCCCTTGAAAAAGCAATTTTGAAGTCAAATTAATTTTTTTCCAAGGTCACATTTGTCGACCCAAAATGTTTCACACCAAACACTGAACCCATTTCAATGTGGTCTTTAAGTCAGTCAGTCAGATGGATTCTGTACGTTTCACAGAAGGAAAAGAAGTATCCAAATGTCCATGGAAATGTCTCCAACCACTCCTGCAGCATAATCCACATCTCCGGATAATCCTATTTTCACTAAAACATGGCTGAAGGCGCAAGTTCTGTTTGTACGGTCCAAAAAAGATCTCTTCAAGTTTCGACCAACTGACGCCGATTATGCTGCAAGAGCAGGTTGAGAAACGTCTGTGGACATATTATTTTAATCCATTATAGCCACTGCTCTATATTAGAGTATCACTTTAAGCTTTAATACACATATTGGATACTATTCCACTGTTGTTGAACCCAAACATCCACTAAAAATACTGTCACCATGCCAACCAAGCCTGTCTCACATACAACAGCACTGACTGAACTTCACACTGTAAAGAGCTGGTTCTCAAAATGGACATTTAGTCGTTCCTGTGTTGGTTTTCATTCATGAATTTAGTTTTAGGGTGGATTTTTCTGTGTCAGATAACCAACTAAGTCACCCTCTTTTGGTAACGTAACGCTAGTTTTCAAGTTCTGCAGCGCTATGAACATTTCATTATCAATGACAGCTGTGTGTGGCTCGACCCTGCTACAGAGGATACTATTTTTTCACACATCATTAAGTTTATTATCAAGAGCTCTAGCATTTAACTGATATTAAACAGCAAAAAAAGAAAATATCAGGATAAGTGCACATTTGAAACAATAGTACAAATCTTTTCTCAGACAAATAATGACATCATTATATACAGTATGCCACCCTCCCTTCTTTTTTCCATCACGTTTTTGTTGTTGTGTTTTTTTACAATACAAAGCAACTCCATACTGTTGATGCTCTATTGACAATATAGAGGTTACTTTCACTTTCACTGCAGAGAATGCTTACTGGGAACAAAATGCAACATGGCTGCATTGTGAACGGCAAGTGAAAGCAAAGGCCCTAACAGATTAGTGAGACACCAATAATACTTTAGAAAAAGAGAAATGAACTCCTAAAAAAAAAGCTCATTTCATGAATCATTACTCATGTTACATAACCGTTTTGTGTGACATTTTCTAAAAGGTAAAAGTTCCCCATGTGTCATTGATGGTTGTCAGAAAATGTAACTCATCACTGGCTACTCCAGCTGATCTCAGGTCAGGGAGAAATCAGACAAAATAACACGGATTCAAAAAACTAAACGTATGTATGTCTTTTTTTCTTTTTTTTTTTAAAAACATGTCTTTGAACCTAGTCTCCAAAATCCATAATAAAGATGTACATGCATCGCAAGACTAGAAAGGTACACAGATCTCTGGTAAAGATAAGACCTGGCTCAACCTCTGAAATCTTTTCAGTTCTTTTCTTTACTTCAGTTACTCTCCAGGAAGGAAAGACAGAGAGGGAATAAAGTGTCACCGGTTTAACATTTTAAAAAGAGGGTCTGTGAGGAGAAATGGCTGACTTCAGAACCAAAGCCGCCACAGAAGGTCATGAGCTGCACTGCTCTACGAAAGTAACTGAATCAACATCACAGATCAATTGAACCAGGTCATAAGCTACAGGTTCACGTTTGTCGACTGTACAAGGGTACAACACCTTCAGTGTTTGAACAGGATCAGGTGGTCAAAGCAGGCGGTTTCCTGGTGTGACGAAATCACCCCAACAGTTAACAGGAAGCTCAGAAAATACTCCAGCGACAACCCGGGGGGGGTGATCAATGACGTCACGACAGGAAGTAGCCACCTTTACACATCTGGTCCTTTATGAACGTCTCATCATCCCTGATTTACATGTCTAGGTTGTGATACTAGCCACAATTGAAGGCACATGTCACACAAAATATGGGGAGGTTTCTCTGAGCATTCGCAGCTCTCGAGCAGGAGTTTGTCCGAATAAGAGGTCAGATTATTTTATGTGTAAATCTCACAAGCTCTGTTTTTACCTCAATATTTGACTCAGTTGTTGAAGATGGAGTATCTTTTATGTGTCAGCCTGGTTAAAAGTTGATCCAACCTACAGTAAAGGAATTTTAATGCCATGCTCAAAATGCTAGGCACTCCTAATGAAAGCAATTTTAAAAGGTAAGTTCAACATTTTAGGACATTTGCGCGTATTCGCTTGCCAGAAGTTAGGTGAGAAGATCGATATCACACTCGTCTGTCTGTAGAGTTTGATACTAAAACAAGCAGCTGGTTAGCTTAGCTTAGCATAAAAACTGGCAAGCAGGGCAAAACAGTTAGCCAAGAAGTCAAGAAGAACGTAATTCCAGCACGCTATAAAACGTTTTTTGTACAGATTAAACAAAGACGATTTTAGAGTCGCTGGTAGGCAGAATTTAGACCGAGCCAGGCCAGCAGTGTCCCATAGTTTCCAGTCTTTAGCTGAGCTAAGCCAACAACCTTCTTGCTCTAGCTTCCAGTTTACCGTCAACCAATCCTCTCCTCTAACTTTTAGCGAGAACGCGATGTAGATTTCCAAAAATGTAAAAATCAACCTTTCAGAGCACCACAAAAAGGGAAGCGAAATTTAAGGGCTAATTTAACCCATTAACTACTCAATCTGAGAACGTCTGCAGATGGCAATGCTAAAGCTGAAGATACCAGCTAATCATTGAGCACAAATACTGAACTAGATACTATATCTGTTACAGTGAGGGACACAGCATTTTGATGTACTAGTGTTTTCATTAAATGTTGAGCCTACAAATGCACAGAGAAACCTCAATAAACTTTTTTTGCTTTGCTTTTTTTTGTTTTACAGTGACTCTCACATTTCAAGAGTTTTTTTTTAAATTCAAACTAATGCTATAATCAATCTCCCCTCAATCATAAATCTTCACACAAATACTTTTCTACACTAGCCCATCTATGTTACTGCAGTCACTTTGAATTTAGAATACAATTTGGGACAACCGAGAATGTACACGATCTTTAAAGGCCTTCATGCCACCTACATTGTACTTTATTTTGTTGAGGATGCCACAAAGGATATTTCCATGCAGACGATTTATGAAGTCAGTAACTCTCTGAGATGTCCAACTGAACACCTCGAGATGAGAGCTTGAAGTCGACACGTTTGGCTTGTCTGATGTTTCTTTGATGTCTGGAAACCTGAATTTGTTAGACAAAGTTACTTTGATGACATAACTGTCTAGTCCTCTTTTTTTATTTAAGTCTCTAGCTGTCCCTGTTTAGGGACTAAATGAATTACCAGAAACTATAGAAGTCGTTTTTCACTATGGTGCCTCCACAAAAGAATTCAAACAAATGCATATTGCGTCACAGAATCATCCATACAAGAAACACCCAGGTATGAAAAGAATGGATAGGTTCAAACAGACAGTATAAAAAGATTTTGAACTACTCAGAGCAATCAGGTGCTGTTTTAGAATGGGCCAAATTCACAGAAATGGAGGAGCATAAATCCAAGGCACAAAGATTTTTTTAAAAACCCTCATTATGACCAAGAGGGGTGGCAGAAAACTGACAGACCGCAGCTCTATGACTGCGGTGAACACTGTGTTCTTAATCCAAAAGAGATTTCACAAAGGAGGCTTAGAAAACTGGACTTGAAGATGAAACTCTTCATTAAACCAGACCTTATACTCTGGCTTAAAGCAGTTTCACTAAACTTTACTGTGATGTAAACTCAGGTGACACAGTTGCACAGTCTTGCAATTTAAAAGCAAGACGTAGAGGAACGCACAATTCAAATCATGCAACCAAAAAGTGCATTGCACCCTTCACAGTGTGGTTTCATGAAGATCTGTTGTAACTGAAAGTAAATCTGTTGGCATTAAGGCCTCACCTGCCCTGTCGTGTTCAAACTGCAGCTAAGAGAAATTTACAAAATAAGATTAATACACAAAAGGTTTAAGTCAGAGAGCCGGGCCCAGAATAAGTTGGAAAACCAGGCAGAATAAAACTTACACCAAATTTTTATTTTGTCAAGATATAACTCAATGAAATCTTGTTTCTTCTACAGTAATACTTCAAACAGGTTTTTCTAGCTGCAAAACAAAAAGGTTAAATACAAAGGTTTTCATAAATTAAAGAAAAGCCGATGCGATCAGGTGACACACATTCATGATGTTGCCGCCCTAATCCTGCAACCTAATTGAAATGGTGTCCATCCAGGAGTGCGCTGTTAAATGGAAGTTAAAGTGGAACTAACCAAAGTAAGTCTAGCTTACAGCCTAAGCCCTCTGTGTGAAATATCTCACTGTGGAAGGTTGAAAAGGCTCCCAGAGTCAGTCTGGTACAGGACGTGGATTCCTGTTGACAGGTTTCTACCAATGAGATGAATGAGAATATGGAACCTCCCTGTATGAAAAAGGATTTTTTTTTTTTTTTTCCTGCAAAGCTTTTATTCATGACTGGAGTAAAGGCGTTAGTCATGAGTCACTGTTTATTTTATAATGACTGTACAGGTTTCACCTGTGTTTCTGGCCATAGTATGCTGAATGTATAATCATTTGTCACTGCTTCATTTTCATGAAGTATCAAGATTTACAGTAGCTGCTTTGAGTGTGCAGTTTTGTGTACGATTCCTTTAGTGTCCACATTGAGAGCGTTTTTAGAAGCGTATCGCAGATCAGACACGTTTCCATTTTATCAGAACAATCAATCCACACCAACTCTGACACGCCCCCCTGAGAACCCCCACTTTTTTTTTTAACCTCTGGTGCTCTTAGTGAAGTGTAATCTTCACAGAAGGCTGTTGACACAAATCTCCTGTTTGTACGTTCTGAACTAATTAATGGTATTAGTAATGATTCATCAAGGCTCCTACTTCCACTGTGGACATTAAGGAGCTTGTAGGGGAAATAAAATCAATGAATCGATGAATAAAAACATCAGTTGCTGTCCTCGCAGCGCCTGAGGAGCTGCTGTTGACGCACAGCTGGTTCTGAGCACAGAGTCGGCTGAGCGGAGGTCGGAGTCGGTGTGGATTGAACAGACTGAAGGTTTCAGTAGCTTAAGTCGTTTGACAGGTAATTCATTTTAAATAGCGTGACATTTTGTACCCTGTTAAAGACTCTTATGAGTTGGTATCTTTGCTTCTGTAAAGGCATTTTAAAAGTATATTTGAAACAGAGTGCCTCAGATTTATGTCTCCCCGCTGGTACGTGTAATGTGTTGTTGGATTTAAGATTGGTCTGACAGTCGAAAGGACTAAAGGAATTTTACATTATCTTGGCAACAGGAAACAAAACACAGATGACTTCAATGATGAGATAAGTATTTGTTGGCAATTTCATTGCCCATGCAAACCTGTTGGCATTTCATCCTGAAACATGGACACTTTGAACTCCCCCAGACCCCAAAGGCAGGTTTGATTTTCTCCAGTGTCAACATGGTGATCAGGGTTCAAATAACTATCATAAAGAAAAAAGAAAAGAAAAACCCAAACCAAAATGTCTTTTACAAACATCCACTCCCAGTCTGAAAGCTCTGCATGTTTCCCATACAAAGAACTTATTTGGGTGACACCCAAAACACATCTGCCACTTTTGAAAAATATTTGACCTTTTGGAATTCATCAATTCAGTTTTAAAATCTCTCTGGGAATGCACCTGAAAGATTGAAAGATGCTCAATGACTTTTCTACTTCTCATATAAATGCAATTCTGTTCTGTAGCTGACTCCCAAGTGTTGGATTTTGGATCTTTAGACCACCAGAAATAAATTCTCAACCTGTGGGAAACACTGAAGCCACCCCCTAAACCGAGTGCTGTCAGACCATCTCTACAATAAACATCTGAAGTAAAAAGTGTGCAGCAGGAGGAGGGAAGGAACATTTCATCCTGCCGTCTGAAGTGGCTGTAATACCTTGTTCCTTGTCAGACAATTATTTCCTTAACTTGTTTGTTTCATTTCTTTTTTCTGATGTGAGCAAGTCCAAAAAGGGCAGTGGAAAAAAATCATCCAACTGAGTTGAATAAAAAAAAAAACAAGTAAAAAATGATTTGCCTTTGATGGGTTGACGAGCGTGTTTGTGGTTAATGCCTCTGTGAGATATGAGCTTTAGTCAAATTCCTCTTCTTCTTTTCCTTTTGTCCAAAAAGTGCTGTTTCTTTTATGCATCACTTCAGAGAAGAACAGGAGATACCAGACCGAGAACAAACGAGACCAGTACACTCAAAGACCTCAACAGAGCAGACCAGCAGATACCAGATCACCTCTGGTCTATGACTTCACTACGGTAAACTCTTCCATGCTGATGAAATATGTGTATTCATGTGTTTGACAAAGACAGAGAAAGAAAAAGCGAGAGAGACTTTACGATGGTTTATGATAAGTTGCCTGTGTGTGTGTATTTCTGAGTGTGTGTGTGTGTGTATGTGTGTGTGTGTGTGTGTGTGTGTGTCTGTTTCATGTGAGAAGGTCCTCCAGTGGTCGATCTACGACACTCCGTTCACCAGCGGAGGAGTGTCCTGTTTGTCCTTCTTCATCCCTCGGTCTCTGATGGGTCTCTGATGGTGATGGCGAGTCGGGCCCTCACCTCCGGCATTGACGCCACCCTGGGATGAGGAAGATGCTCCTGCTCCTCCTCCTCCTCCTCCACCTCCTCCTCCACCTCCTCGCCCCCCTGAGGAGTGCTGCACGCTACGCTCGTTGCCGTCCACACGGATCTGTGGGAGAAAGCAAAGATGTACAGTCTGGTTCCTTCACAGCAGGTGGAGGGGAAATATGATCAAATACAGGCTCACTGATGAACTGGGACATTAGATTGGATCTGGGCTCACATTTATCGCCTCAGAATAACTCTTGGCAATCAAACAGCGAAGACTAAATATACTCCTAACTCAGAGCAGGACAGCGTAACATATGACGCTTCCTACTCTGATGCTGAGTGAGGAACGGGACAACCTGACAGTGTGTGACTTTGCTGTCTTACAACATTCAAATCTGATATGAAGAAAAAAAGCACTACCAAATTTACCAAACTTGAGGTGTTGTACGAGCCAAGTTTGGTAAATTTAGTCACAAATAGTCGGTTGTTGTAGAGCGGCTTCTGTAGATGGCATGTGTTGTCCTATATTTCACATTGTTGGTTATCTTTATTTAAGCTCATTATCGTCAGGTGTTCCACATAATCTCTCTGCCATCTCCTCTGGATCGATCCTAAATATTGCCTGAGATCAGAGTCATTTCCTAAGTTACAGAAGTTGAAAGTATGCTTTTGTTCCTAGTTCTAAAAGTAGGACCAAATATGTCACTGAGAACTTTTGGCTAATTTGGACTGATTCCCTTCTCTCCTGAGACAGTACAGGTCCAGATCAGAAAAAGATGTCTGTAGGTGTTTAAATCTTTTTCTTGGTCTACAATAATTTCATTTAAAACCAGGTGGCTGTGTGTAACTGGTGAGGAGTGTTTCCTAGTGACTGTAAAGATTTAAACAGAGGATAATTTTAGGGCAAATGTGTGGGTGTGTTACCTGTAGAGTGTCTTCCGGCGCTCTCGTCTTGGGGTCTCTGATATGACGAGGTCTTGGCTCGCTCCACTGCATGTCGTCACCTAAACCGGGACAGACACAACCCTGAAACTCAACTTAAAAAGGTATCGTCCCTGTTCCCACCACACACATAGGATGATAAAAACATGAAACAAACCAGTTCTGGGACAACGTGCAATCAAACCACTGACTAAAGCCAGTGTCATTGCCAGAACCTTCAGGAACCACTGCGGTCTGAGACAGCAGCTAGCTGGCAGGTAGCAGCTTGAAAACAGGGTTAAATCTATGTGTGGTAATTCAATTTATGTCTGGGGAAATTTAAAAAAAAATATATATATAAACTGGATCTCCTTGAAAAAGCAAACACTCAATGAGAATGTAATAGTGAGTCTGCAGGGAACTCATTACTTGATTCCTTCCCATTCTGCAGGGTATAATTTGATGAAAGGCTTACTTTTTTGGAATTCACTACACACTCATTTCTTTCTCCTTCTTACGTCTCATTTTTTATAACTTGAATAAAGATTATTTCTGTTCATTTTCTTCAAAGTTATTTTTTATCTCCAGACGCATGATAGAAAAACTGCAAAACTGTACAATTCAGTGACAGAGAGAAAGCTTATCAGGCTTTTCAACTGGAAATATTTGACTCGTCTCTCTCTAAATTCCCAAAGATACCTGCTGAGCACAATCCTAAATGAGATAAAATCGCTACAAAAAGATCATAACTGCCTACCTTTATACCCTCCCCCTCCTCTTCCTCTCCCTCCTCGTCCCCGGGGTCCTCCTCCGCCTGCTCTCTTCCTCCCATCTGTCCGTCTGGGCAGGGTCCCGCCGCCTGTCATCAGCTCTTCGGTGGGGGCCAGCGACCAATCGCTGAGCTCGTCTTTGTGGTCCGACTCCGTCTCTGAAGCGTTGGATGCCTCCGAGTTGGTGCCTGGGGGAGGGAGGACACACGTCAAACCTCATATAAACTGCCACGGAAAGGCAACAAGGAATTAACCACTGATTAAATGTTTTGTTTTACAATTAAGTCAACGCCTGGGGAAGAGACTCTCCGTTCAGTACTTGTACTAGATGGATGCTTCATGTAATTTCCATTGTAATATCAGATATCCAAACACCCTAACAATGTAACCCTGTAACGGGGCCACTGTGCACAAAAAGTGAAGTCTCATCGAATGTGGCTGAAAATAATCTCAATCTAAGCCGGAGAATCAGATCTTCTGCTTCGATATTGTGCCTTTCACATCCAAACCAATGAGAGCACTTATAATCAGAGGTGTAAGTTTATCTTTTCAAGTACAAGCACATTATTTGAAAAAGAAGATATGAATTAATTGAAACAAGTTTCAATGACTTCTCTTGTTGTTTTTTTAAAAAAATGATTTGAATCGTACCTGAGGCGAAAGTTGCACCTCCTCTTCGCCCTCTGCCACCTCTTCCTCCCCCTCCTATGTAGGGCTTGCCTCCTCCTCCGCCTCCTGCTCCTCTCCCCATCCCGAGCCCCATGCCGTTATCGAACACATAGGTTTTGTCTTTAAGGTTTCGAGGCCCCGTCCCTCCTCCTCCGCCTCCCCCTCCTATCTGTCTCAGCTGCTCGTCAATCTGAAGGCGCTCCAGGCGGAGCTGATCCACCTCCTGTAGACATGAAGGATCAGCAAACCATGACAATTATTATGTTTACATGCACACTAGTAGACCAGTTTTAATCAGATTCCCCCCAAAACTAGGCTTTGATTCTAATTTGTATGAACCCGGAGCATTTTTAAGGTTGGTACATGGAGAAAGCAATGATATCAGTGGATCAGAAGGTGTATGGTTGTGGTGTAATTTATGGTTGCGCTCTCTGTCTTTCTCTCCTCTGCTCTCTGTGTGAAGTGAAAGATATTTATGGCATTTAATTAGTCTCAAAACCTGCACACATAAACAACAGGCGTGTGCATGTGATGCAGTGTAAGTGGATTCGATACTGGATTCAGACCGGATAAAACGAACCTGCAAAAGCTCAACCATATATTCAAAAGCCTAAAATGAATTAGTGGACTGTACACTGATTGAAAATTGACGTATTAATTAATTAATTAATTAATTAATTAACAATGCATCCCTGTGCTGACCTGGGTCCCATCTTATGTTTCAAAGTTCTGTATTAATCTCCCAGTTAAGTCAATTTGCCCCTGCGTTGCACTGGGCTGTAACGATTACTTTCATTATCGATCAATTGATTCTTTGTTTGGTCCAGAAAATGGTGACAAATGTTTCCCAAAGCCTAAGGTGACATCCTCAAAAGATATTCCCTTTTACTGTCATAGAGAGCTAAATAAAATATTTACATTTGAGAAGCTGAAATTAGAGAATTTGGACATGAATTCTTAAAACATTAGTCCAAAAAATTCAATTATCAAAATAGTTGGCAACTGATCGAGTGATTGTTGCAGCTCTAATGTTATAAATGCATTAGTGGAATTTCTTTTAAAAAAAAGACCTGAATGTCTTTCATTTAGGTGGACCAACAATAAATATACGTAGACGTGAGAGCAAATGTGATCAATTGCTGCGCTGATGCTCTGCTCTGAGCATTAAAACATCCTGTTAAATCTGAAACACCAGCTCGCTGATAGTGAACCCTATGCTTGCCACAATATTTAGGATATAATGTTTACATGGTACACAGAGGTAGCTGGTTATTTAACTCCCTGTATGCAAGCTTCTTACTGTTCAAAGGTTTCTGTTCATCTGCATCAGTGCAGTGAATCCAGATACAGATACATTTCTGCACGGACTGACGTTACCTCAGCGAACTAGGATGAACTCACTGCATTTATCACTATACTGGAACTAATTACTCCATGTGATTACCATTAAAGCGAAATGAAATTTAGAGTCAAGAGTTTCACTTTCACTTTAACGTATAAATCATCATTGCACTATTTACCATCGTAATTTTTTTTTTACTGACTAATTACACCGAATTAGGCTTGAGGAGGCACCTGCAAACATTGATCAGAAACCTGGATGAGGTGTTTGTATGATACATTATCCCTGTTTTTAATCAGAGTACGCTGATTAGCGTCCGTAGGTTTCTTAAAGCAAGATATTGTGTTACACAAGCCTACTCAACTGAAGGCTGCCAGCGTTCGATTTCAATGAATGTGAATGCAAATGTCATTAATGTACCTAATATTGGTCAACTATAAGAATAAGATCAATAGTTGAATATTTTGGAACATACACGTAATCGCTGTCTTGCGATTTTATCAGACAGACAGACAGACATAAGAGTGAGTGGGAACACCAAACCCACTCTTATGTCTGTCTGTCTGTCTGATAAAAACGAAACTAAAGCTAGGAGACAGTAAGTTAAGCTAAAGATTGGAAACGGGGACTTCCAGTTTCTGCCAGTTGCCTGGAAACCTCACGATGACGACAGCACTCCAGGAAGTCACTACTCCTTCATCTGGGCAGAACCAGGCTACCCTGTATCCAGAATTTATACTAAGCTAAGCCAACTGTCTCCTGGCGGTAGTTTCACATTTAACAGAGTCTTCTCATCTAACTCTCGGCAAGAATGTAAATACACACACTTTCCAAAATGTGGAACTATTTCTTTATGAATACTGTATTTAAAATGCTTCAGTTAGGGACCGGTATAATGATACACCACAGTACAATTCCAGACAGTTAGCACTGTATTAACATTTCAAACATCAGTTATCATTAAAACTGTTATGGTTATTGCACAAAAACTCATCAACCAAAGTTGGCAACAGTCTCCCAGATACAGGTGCGACGGCGCAGCATGGGTTCGTTTTGACATGGCGGAAGGCAGTGATAGCGCTCAGGGGGTGGGAACAAGTCTAAAGTGTGTTTGTATTTTGGTTTTTATGAGTGCTGAGGAAAACTTAATCAAAGTTTGTCACCCTGTCTGCAGAATGGGGGGAAAATGTCACGGATTGTTTGCAAATAGCTTGTCAATAATGTAAAACTTTCTCTTGTGAAAACACTACACGTTGTTCTGCTGCTGCTGCTGCACCATGTGTCTGCAGCAGACTCTATTCACCCACTACACACAATAACACGCTTAGTCACCCAACCTACTATCACTTTCTTCTTATTTGTATATGTAAATTGTGCATTGGGTCATTACATGTACTCAAATGCAACACATAAGATAGTACGTGTGTGTGTGTGTGTACAAATACAAATGGCACCATTCCCTAAAGGGGTTTCCATATGTTTATATAAGGCATTGCTTTGTTTTTTAATGTTGCTGCAAAGAGTAGTTTTCAATATAAAAATACTTTTTGAACATTTTCAGCACATTTTAAAAATACCACGATAATAGAGATATGACATAACAGATTATTTTGGTCTCTATAATCCTGTTATTAAAAGTTCATACTAGTTCATCTTCATTGTTATTCCCGGTGATGATACGCACCTTAAGGTAGTTGAGGTGATAGTCCAGCAGTACTGTTGCATTGGAGATGCTTTCCTTGGTCCCCACAAATACAAATGGCACCATTCCCTGTGAGAGAGGGTCAGAAAAGAAATAAAGATTGTCTTGCATCTGGTTTATAGAGCCGTTTGTTGTGTTCGTAAGTAGGCAGTTGCGTTGGTCTTTCCCTTCCCACTGACCTCGTCTGCTGCTGCTGCCGCTGCTGCTGAGGGCTTCTTGTCATTCTCAGGCTCAATACGAACCCGCACCACCCCAGACTTATCAACCACTTCCTGGATCAGCTTTCCGTTTTTGCCAATCACCTTCCCTGTGAGGGCAAAAACATCATCAAATCGACTTTGAAGTTTAATACCCTGGCTAGTTAGGTAAAGCTCAAGTTACCGCATGAATAATCTCACTGTCTCAGCTGAGTGACTTTCTCACCTACTAAGTTCCGGGGAACTTTGATGACATCTTCAGAGAACTCCAGGAAACTCCTGGCAATGCGTACAGCATCCTGGTCCTTAGACAAACAAGAATAAAACAAAAATACTATAACTTCGGTCACTTCCTTATCTCACCCACATTTATCTTTAACATAAAAGTATAAGACCATGCAGTATATGTGGAATCTAAAGGGGACATTAGCGTCAGCAGAGCTGTCCTACCTCTCCGTATATGTGAAAGGTGCACGTCTCCTCATCCAGGTCTATGTTAGTGACTCCAGGGACTTTTCGTGCTTGCTGAATGTTGGCTCCGTGAGTCCCAATAGCCAGCCCCATTAGATCATCCCGAACCACAAACTGTTCATGAAAGCGTGACGCGAGCTGCCTGGAACTCTGCCGAATCATAACGAGAGGGACAAACAGAAACACATGAGCAAAAACATCATCAGTTCCACAACAGAGTAAGTAGGAGTTTAGTGATTCCTGATGGGCAATCCTTTAATAAAGCTATAATCACCTTTAACAGCAAAATGATCAAATTATACAAATATTTGAAGAGGCAGTTGTCTGTAAGGCTTGTGCTTGTTTGTGTTTGTGTGTGTGTGTGTGTGTGTGTGTGTGTGTAAATGTCTACCTCCAGTTGTCTGCTGGCCTCTTCGTTCCTCTGCATGAGAGACAGTTTGGTGCGGAGGCTCCTGAAGTGCATGTCGCTCATCATATTGGCCCGCTTTGTTGTGACCTCATTCACCGACTGGGAGAACAACCAAAGATTAATTCAAACAGAGAATCGGACTTTGGAAGATGATATTGATGGAGTTCATCTACAAAATAATGTGATATTGTTTCAAGTCGCACGCAGGGTGCCCCGGTCAGACTGCATAAATGGGAAGAATTAGGGATTGGATTATGTGTATGAAATTTAATTTGTGTGATGGACAAACAACTTTGATCGTATGTTCTTAAGTTAAATAAATAGTTTAACGAACCAAAATGAACAGCTGCTTTTTCTCTGAGTCGTAGGTGACGCTGAACGCTCCCACGGCCTTTTTAAAGTCTTTGTGTGCTGATTCCTTGGAGCACCTGTCAACACAGTTACACAAATAATTAATGCCATACCAGTGTCTCCGAATAACACAGTAATCACTATTGATTATTTAAGGACATGTGTGCACATACCTTCAGTTCATCACAGATTAGTGTGAAGCATTATTTAGTATTTTTAGAGCGTAATACAAACTTGAATATTTGTCCCACTCAAAACCATTCATTAAAAAACTTAAAGAGTTTGATTCTTAGATTTACATGTTTACACAAACATAAACATCTACAAGAATGTGGCTCACACCTTCTTATACTGCTGCTACATATTTGAGTGTTGCATTAGCAGCATTTACCACTGTTGCTCTACTGGCATTGTGCCTCTTACAAACAATGTATTCCTCTGACAGATGCAGCTACACATCAGCAGGTTCTGTTTAAAAGGCGCATGCTTCTGACAAGGTACGGATCTATGTGCCAACTGTCACCTAGGGTACTACCTTTGTTAAAGCTAAGCTAGCAAACTGGCCTTGGCTCGAAATGTGCCATTTAATGCTGCCATGGCTGAGCAGCTAGTGCAGAAGTGTAAGTGCTTTCAAACTGAAATGCACTTTAAATGCCAAACTCCAACATTTTCTTTACTGCTCATTATAAGTGCTGCTTTGTTGTTGTTTTTTGCTCTTTCCCCTCTTCTCTTTGCTTTACTTTCAACTTGCACAGTCAGTGCAGAGCATTAGCTCTTGGTGAAACAGTGATTGTTGTCTGCTGGGTAACAGATCCACGGAGCATTAATTTAGGGCAGAGAATTAAAATCAAGTATTACTCATATCACTCAAGTGTTTTCCTTGGAGAAACCCAATTTCCAAGCACATATCCTGTGTGAATTTATCTAGACAAATGGTTAACTACATGTCTTAACTGGACATAAAAGTGTGTGTGTGTGTGCGCGCAACTGTATACCAAACTTACATCTGCCGTAGATCCTCGGGTACATCCAGTCTGATCTTGATGAAGGTGGTTTTGGTGGCTGGTTTATTCGGATTGACCGGCCGTAACCGCTCCAGCGTCACTATCTCATTTAATGTAGCGTCACATGCAGCGTACTCTATTACGTAAAACTAGAGACACAGAGACAAGGATTTTTCAGATAATGTGGGTTATATGAGTAACAACTGCGTATCAATACGTAAATTATACATTTCAGTTTCAATTAAATAATTTAAATATCCTGGAAAGAACATGGTTAAGACAGAGGAAAAACAGGAGAGAGATAGACAGAGATCTAAAATGCATAAAAAGACAGTAGAAGAGATAAAGCGTAAAACCAGGCCAGAGAACAAAATGGGGAATAGAAGAAAAAAGCAGCTCACAGCAGTGAGACATGTCTGACTGGTTAGCCCACACTGAATCCTCCAATCACTCAAAAAGTCTGATCACAACAGAGAGTCCTTGAACAAAGGCAGTAAACTCACTAACACCTATCATCACAGTCAACACCAGCCTCCAGAGGGATGAGGGTATACTTAGGCAGATCATCCACACTGAGCCACTTCAAAAACATATATAGCATATAGCAATATAGCATTCTGAAACATTATGCTGTGTGAACCAGTGAAAAGTAACTTATGTAAATATCGACACCGTCACAGTGCTACTTGCTGATCCGACTGATATGTTTATACACAGGCCAACACTGTACAATGATACTGTAACCCAGATCTAGAAAGACTGTGAGTCCTACCTCTCCTTTGACCATGCGAACCTTGGCCAGCCACCATCCACATGGCTCCTTGTCATTAGCCCTGGAATATACCTGGCAACACACACACACACAGAGTACATTTCAAAAACCTTTCCAGTTATCACCCAGATCTGAGATGATTACAACACAGACATCTGGCACAGATAATGCAAATACACAATCTGAATTCATAAACTGATGTGGCCTAATTACTTATTCGATTCAGTAGCACTAAGGACATCTGAGACATCGGCAAGTTGCCATATAAGCATATTAAAAAAAGGGAATGAATAATTTACTCGTATAATCATTATGAAGTGAACAAATGCAGTCTCTCTGATGATTTTTGTTCTGCTTTCAGTTAGGGCTGCACAATCAATCGAAATATTATCAAAATCGCAACATGGCATGTAAGTGCAACACCCATTTTAAAGGGTAAAATGGAGGAAAAAACTTTCTCTGGCCTATATGATGTAAGAAAACATGTTTAGTTAAGTAAACAAATGCCACATAGAGAAAATGAATGATGCAGTGAATAGTGCAAAAAGGATAATTCCCACTAGTTGTGAATCACATTGCAATATCAGTAAAAAAATAATTGCAATGTGATGTTTTTACCATATTGTGTAGCCCTACTCTCAGGAGAGCACACCATTGTACCTGAACATCTTTATGTTGCTGTAACTACACACAGCACTCAATCTTAAAGAACATGTTTACTTAAACCTATGATGAACAATATAAACTGCAGCAGGAACATAATCCAATGAAAATCTCTAAAAATAGAAAACAAAGAGCCTCAAGAATTTCATTCTGCTGCATTTCTTCTCTTGCACTCCATCTAGCCTCTCTCTGCTTTCTAAATAAACCACATCTGAAGGTAATATTCGCTTTCTGAAACAGTTCTGAAAGTACTGAATCAGTCCCACCTCGACCTCATCGCTCTCATTTATCTCCTTGCAGAACCCTGTTGGAGGAGGAAAACGCACATCCTGGAAGGGGATCTGGCGCTCTGGCTGCCAACTAGGACAGAGGGACACACACGTTTACAAAAATAAGTGTGGAGTTCATAACTCGCAAAAAGGTAACGTTTCACAGTGTTATATTTTTTACAGTGTATGCGCATTACTCACTTGTTTTCAAATGCCACAGTGACCGATCCTTCGTGAACATCCTTAATAAAGGCCTAGAAGAAAAGTTAGAATAATCAAGATGTGACATACCCACAGATAGTCAACACAGCGTTATAGTGGCATCAAGCATGTAAAGTGGTTACAGTTCTGCCACCAAGGCCTGACCCAAGCCCAAAGTCGCTAGCAGCAAAACAGCCCAAACTGATCCCTCTTTTTAATGCTCGAGTCAGGCTTGGTTGTGTCTCTCTGGGTGTACACACTCTGCGTCCATGTGTGTCAAGTGCTGCAAGTAGGACATGCGATGCCTTGAAGGAAAAGAGAGAGCGACACAGCCTGGTGTAAGGGTTGTATTAGCCTGGAAAGCTAACAGTCAGTAATGGATGAAATGAAGCAAAAAACTTTCAAAAAGGAGAGTTTCTTTAAAAAAAATCCCCAACGATTCAAGGAAAGCTTTTCGACTGCGCATTCTGACTTAATTGAGCTGCGACCGTGCCTGTACCAAACCCCTTTACAGGATTATGACTACTTGAACTGTCAGGTTGAGGAGACGACGTTCTGTGTTTACGAGACGCATTCGTCTGGCCAGTTTTGGGAATAAAATTACAAAAGGAGAAATGTTTCTCTGATATTATAAATGAAACCACTATAAACAGATAAGGTAGGTGATTCTGTGTGAGAGTACTGTGCGCAGGCAGTTTGTGGGCCAATGTTTGTGTGGCGTTATTGCCTCTAAAAGCAGCATAAGAATGGAATAAGAAGAATGGCATATTGGCACACAGACACAGGGTTCTGGCACATAATCAGCCTCCTATTCCATCACCAGAAGCAAACTATAAGTTGTCCTCATCACAAGAGGATTTATTGTAAAGTCTCATTGATGCAGAAAACATTACAATTATTAAACATTCTGCCTCATGCGTTCATGATATAATAACTCTTCTATTAGCTCTCAGTGGGAGAGGAAATATTCAGATCCTTTCCTGAAGTTAAAGAAGTGTTTTACTATTATATAGGATGTTTTTGGATTAATATTACTGTTGCATTAATGTGTATGTTGCATTTTACTGCTGTATATGTTTATGGTTGAGCTAATTCAACTACTTTATGTACTGTTTGGTCATTGAATCTACAACAATTCTACAGTATCATAGATATCTCTAAAAAGTCAACTCTTCACGAGCTCAGATAACAGACCTGTTTTCAGCTTTGTGTCGAAATGAAGGATGAAATCAGTAATGACATATTATCTCAATAATCTGTACTGAGACGGCAGACACGTGACTACCCTTTTCATGTGATAGCTAATGACTGTGGTGGGTCTAAGGACAGAGGGTGTCATACACAGATTGAGCTCCCTGAGGCAAATGTGTGATTTGTGATATTGGGCTATATAAATAAAAACTGACTCGACTAAAAGCTCATTCATCAGTAAAAGATCCCATAAAGCAACTTGATGACAAATGTCTTGGTCAAACACAAATCAATTACTCAGTCAAAAAAACTGTGTTAAAAACGTAACATCAACAAAAACTTCAAAGAAAAAAGTCCGCAATAACCTCCAAACTATTTGGCTAAATTAAACCCTATATGTGCCAAATGTACCACTTTGGGATTAGCGTCCTGGATCAAGATATCAAAGTCCACTTTCTTACAAAGTGAATCACTGTACAGCATCTGTGTGTGAGTGAGGAACACATCTCTGCGTCCTACAGCTCCTAAACAAGGTGGAGATTATATGATATTTAGGAATTAAGTGACTTCTACGACCGGTCACAGCTAAACACAAACGTCTAATCTAAATACAGAGCAGTAAATCGACCTATATGCTTTAAACTCGAGCATGAAATTTTGGCCACGTCAGTCATCGAGCTAAATCCTATCCTAAAAAAGATGAGTGGTTGGCAAACTCTTTTATTCTATGCTAAGTGCATTTTGTGGATCTCTTAAACTAATCTGAAAATTGGCTAATTGCATTAAGTGCTATAATTTGATAATAACACATGCCAAATAATAAAACAGCATTCAAACTGCATGCCAGAAATCCCATTTTGCATCCATAAAGTGATGTTCGGGCCAGTGCCACACCCGACACAGAAAGACAAAAGTACATCCAACTCCTGATGTTGCCATCTTTAAAAGACAAAAAGCATTTGGGGTTTTTTTTTTGTTATTTTTCCAGACAGGACTGATTCATAATATTCACGTTCAATTCAAGAATACGCTTTAGTGAAAGTACTCGATCTCTTTATACTTTCAAAACGATTCAGGTGGCACCGAACGCAGCCCGAGAGTCCGTAATGCACAGTAACACAGCGGAGAGTGCAGTGCAGGCTCCCAATACTAGAAAGATGACAACACTTGCAAGCAATTACCCCCCCCCCAACACCAACTGTCTTTAATGTTTTTAAGGTCTGCTATCAGCGAATGTGAGCTGGTACTGCTTTATTTATTGTTACCAGCTTTCTTTTACTCATTGCAGATTAAGTTTTTTCTATTCAAAACACGAGTGCATCTTCGGACTTTCCTACTTTGCTCGGTTCCCCCAGCTGTCCCTAAACCACGACAGTTTCATCCCACAGCAAAACTTTGTTAGAATGTGTGCTTTTTATTTTGGACACCTCAGTATAGAAACATATTTCTATTCCACACAGTTGTTTACTTTTAATTATTTTAACATTCAAAAAGGAGAATTTGTGCTATTGTGTTGCTGCTTATGTTTCATCCACAACAGACAAACACTGATCACAGGATCAACACCTGTACATCAATGTCTGCCCTGGGATCCATGAGCAAATCTCTCACCCTGTCCTAGCAGACTCTCTCTGTAGTCTGTGGCACACACACACATATATATATATATATATATATATAGTTATATAATATGATCAAAGTAAATACATAAGCTCAACCCTTCAAAGTCCTGCTCACCCTACTTGTTGACTCTTGTCTTCAGAGTAAACCCAACCAACATCCCAGCAGCTTTAATGAAACAGAAACTACCTGCCCACCAGGGGAAACACACAGCCAAAGCTAACCCACGTTTGTTATCCTAAATTAACTTAGAAAGAAAGAAAAACCCACATAAATCCAGCCCGGATTGTGGCACCTGTGCTGCTACCAACCCCCCTGCCCACCTCCACACACACACACACACACACACACACACAGCATTACATTACAATCACGTCAACATCACCAGCTCCCAGTTTCACACTCAGGCCAGCAGCATTAAGGAAACAGCAGCAGCTCAACCTCAGCTTTGTTTACAGGCTTTGTAGCCTCCTCGTCCCGGCGGAGGTTTGGACAGAAGCACCGAGGCCCGCAGACACAAGCAGGTTATCTGTTGGCTACCGTCATTTAACGTCAGTTAGCCTAACGTCTGTAGCTCGGTGTGGCAACCGACGCGACTAACAAAAAAAAAAAAAAACAGCCCAACAAAAAGCCCCCAACTCACCTTATAAAAGGCCCCACTTGTTCCCCTCACTTCCACGACTAGTTCATCCATGACGCGAGTGACTGCAGCTCGCTAGCTAGCTAACCACCGTTAGCGACGTTAGTAGCTAGCGAGCTAGCTGGCTTGGCTAGCCTGACGCTAGCCCAGGCGGAGGTTGCTATCGGTGGCTTCGCTAAGCTAAAACCCAAATAGCCTGTCAGCTGGATGCAAGAAGAAGAAGGCCCACGGTTTTAACGGTGTGTGTGTGTGTGACCGAGATATGTTGTTCCCCCACGTTGTGCACCGTGTGTGACTCTTGCGTTGTGTGTTTCTTCCGGACGTGGTGCTACATCAGAAGGGCTGTGTTAGCTGCAGCTAGCTGGTGGTACTGTTGTGTGGTTAGCGGTGAAGCTGCAGCTCTCTCTCTCCATGTGACGTCCTCCCGCTTTCTTCCTCTGCTGCGAGCCGAAGGGCTGGCTGCACGCGTCTGCTCTCCACAGGTAATCAACAGGAGTGCCTTTTTGTTTTTTTGTTTTTGTTTGTTTATTGTCTCTCCTCCTCCACACACACACACACACACACACACACATACACACACCAACACCAACCTGTCAATCACAAATCAAAATCTGTGTTATTAATATTATTATATAAGCCCTGTCTTTTGCTTATAGCACCCACTGCATCTTTATCTGAAGGTTATAAAGCTGTGTTTGTCTTATTATTCACAGATTTTCTTTATTCATTTTTATTTATGTTATGATAATTGGCTTTTTTTGCTGATTGGAGACAAATATTTGGGGTCCCGCAGGGGTTTCAGAACCCAGGACAGCGACGGTTTTCTGTACATATAATAATTATTTATCGGTGTTATTTCTCAGGTTCAGGTTTCAGATACTTCACTTAACCTGTGTTTGCTTTTGTCACTGCAGCAGCTCTTCTTTTGTGACGGATTTCTGGCTCAGGATTTGACAACTTTTGATTTAGTGTATTTATCTTGGGATATTTTGACGGGCCTTCTCAGATTTCCCGACATTTCTTCAACATTTTTAATATATTTTTGGTATTAAAATGGCTTTCGGTGTGTTTCCAATCAGCTGTCGGCCTCTTGCCAAACCACATCGCTGACTCCAAGAAAAAGTCCAGCCTCTCTGGAATATCTCAACATGAATTTATAACATTCCTCAAATCCCTAAAATCTGAATGTGCAACCATGTTGTCCAAGATGTCATGGCACATGCTTTAAGGACATATCGTGTTGCTTAAACACATCTGTTGACACATATTACTGTTCAGACTTAATCACTTCAACATTTTGATGTTCTTTGACGACTGGACCCGGAGAGTCAGTACCAATCAGACGCTAGTAATTCATTGAGAGGCACGTCTATTGTTTTACCTCTCTGATACTCTCGCACTCTCAATATTCAGTGGCACTCATCTGCTACATCCATTAATGGACACAAGATCTGCTTGAGAATTCAATTTTCTAGCCAAAGACAAGCAACAGCCTCAAGCCACATGTTTGGAGACAGACGGACGGGGAGAGAGAGATATGGAAGCAGAAGGAGGAGAAAGAAATTGAAAGTATTAGGGGGTCACTGAAACACAGAAGCACTGACAATGAGATATGAGACGGGCATGGAAGGACTTAAAGGGATACATTATGGAAAGATTAGGACGGAAATAGAATGAAAGGGCGGTAGAAAGAAGGTGAAACATGAAGGTTGAAATAAAATACAGGGCACGGAGAAGCAGAATGGAAAAAACAGACATGAAATCTTAAGTTCCTGTGTGTGGGAGGGAAACTCTAACAGTAAATACTTCGGTCAGGACACCAGTGAGTATACGGCCAAAACAGACTGAAAATATCATGTTAATGCTGAGGGGGCACGTAATGTCAAAATCTGACTGAAGTTTAAGCCTTCAGATGGCTGAACTGGTCTCCGAATAATGAGTCGGGTGAAGCGTCTTCAGAAGTTTTATCAGAAGTCCCTTTGTGAGATTGTAACAACCACAATGTTACATATGAAACATACAGTAGAAGACAATCTGATACAGTCCAAAACAATAACAAACTCACAGCCTAAAAACATTGTCATCTCAGATTTAACAATTCTAATAAAATGATGAAAAACATCAAGCAACACCACTCTTAAGGCTTTTGTTAAAGGAGTAACTAACCTTTAATCTGACTTTTTTTTGTAGTAGTATTGACTAGGTAGAACACATCCCTGTCCATCCATCATGTGGAGGAGTTGAATAAGAGCTGCTGTTCTGTAGCAGACTGACCTCCAACTTCTGTGGTGTCACATTAAGCTCAGAGGAGCGTAAACCAAAATAAATCCATATTAATTCCTTTTAGATTAGAGAATAGATTCACTTTCACCCTGAAAAATGAAGTTTAGCCAACAGTTGGGACGTGACCCCTGACCTGTGTCAGTCACACAGGTTGCTACAGGAGATCTATTGAACCTGAAAGTCAATAAACCCAAAATAATTGAAAACTAGAATTTCAACTTTCTTGTCTTTTGTGTCTATTTTTATGTAGGGATTCATTCATTTACAGAATCATAATAATAATACCCTTTTTATTCTCTGTTGTTGCACTGTTGAGCTCACTGTGACACCCCAGAGCTTCCCCTGTAGGAAGAAAGGAATTTCCCCTACATGCATATTAGTAACTATCACATTATCATAATTTCTATTAGGTGTATAGGTTTATTAGGATAGCTGCAGGCTGTGTCACAGTTAATTGAAGGCTGAAAATAGCTAGCTACAAGGTAGCCTGCACTGACACTATTATGTGAATTACCTGAAGGTAATGTTGTACCTGTAGGGCTGCAACTAACAATCATTTTCATTATTGATTATTCTGCCAATTACTTTTGTGTATAAAATGTGAAAAATAGTGAAAAATGAAACAATCACAAATTTGTGTTTTGTCCGACCAACAGTCTACAACCCAAAGATATTCATATGGAACAAAGAAAACCAGCAAATATTGACATTTGTGAAGCTGAAATCAGAGGAAAGTTGTGAAAAATCACAGGAACAATAAATCAGTTATCAAAATAATTGCAGATACATTTTCTATCAACCCTTTATAACTCATCAAGAGATTCTGCCCCAATCTCACAAGCAATTAATAAGCAAATTCATTCCACACACAGTAGCCTGGCTTTTAACATTTCCAAATTTCAAGCTATCCCTTTAAGAGCAAACGTGGGTTAAAAAAAAAGACACAAATCATCTGAAGCCAGATATTATAACAAATAAAACACAGTGTATGTACAGGGAAAAAAGGAAGGCAAGCAAACATACTGTACATTTGTATTCTTAACCTTTAGACCTGGATAAAATACAAATTGGTTATGATTTCAAATATTTGAAATAGAAAATTGAAAGACAGCTTAATGCGATATGTGAAATTCACTGTAGCCTAATGAGTGATGAAGTCAATTGATATTTTATTCAGATCTGGTTAAGATTATAAAAACAAAATGCAGGCACATTCTTCTTTTTCCAACACCATGTTTTGCTTCCTATTAGGCTTGTTGTCTCCCACGTATCACGACTAAATTAGCCACATTATGACAGAGCCACAGTTATTTGTTAACGGATAAAAAGTTGTAGGGTGTACCCAACCACAGCCCTGGCAATAATAAGCAGTTTAGAAAATGGATGAATGGTTATCCCAGTTTTTGTGTTCTTTTGGCTGTGAGTGTCACAGATTTTCCCGTACATACAGTGAGGATGAAAACAGCAATTCCTGGTATTTTACAGTAATCTGATTTCATTCGCCCGTACCGGCTGCTTGATCCCACTGCCACTGTTAGAAGAAGAACAGAGGAGGAGAAATTCTGACTAAAAAAATCAACAAAACCTGATACAGCTCAGACAATAGCTCCATGGATGTGTTAAAATTGCTCGATGGGATGAATTAATTAGGTCATCAGACTGTCAGCTTGGAGGGAACACCCATCTGAAATGCTCACTGATCTGAATTTTTTCACATATGGCATCCAAATGTATTTATAGCATTGCTCAGAAGTAGGCTACAGTGTTAAATTAGGGAAGGACATGGCGAAGATGCTGCTATATCTAACTGACGGCATCGCAGTGACGCTTGTGGATTGATGCCTTATTACAAAGGCGTCATAGCTCCAACACTGAGTTACGTACAGTGTGTTCTTCTACAACCACAACACATCATCTGGGAGCAATCTCAATGTAAAGTATACTGCATCTCTGTGGACAATAAATAATAAATATGGCTTTCTACAGGGATTCATGCAGCCTGTATCATCCATGGCTTGGATACTCCTGGACTTCCTTTATACACACACCAGGCTTAAGTCTGCTCATAGTGTACATCCAGGCTCAGGCTGTGTAGCAATATAAATATATCCATTATGCATACAGGGGTCACAGTTTTCTATCATCTTTCCTGCCCTCTCTGAGACTGGAGGCAGTGATATTGATGTGAGATCACATCGTCTAAGACAGACAGAAGGCCTTTACTTTGAAAAATATACAGAATATGGAATTGCGGTGGCGGATTGGCTATCTTGGAAGTCACGTACGGCAAAGACTGGATGTTTTTTGCATTTGCACACAAAGGGAAAACTGGATAAGCCACTCTGCTAGAAGTTAAGCGTGGAGGGGATATGTTTACATCGGGTTTAGATGAGAAAAAGGAACCTTGCCATGAAGGCTCTTCTTTGTAGGAGAGTGCATTTCTCCTACATGAGGGTAAGAGGATCTTACAGCCTCTAAATCAATACGCGACATTCTGCCTGACAACCTCTAGATGGTCCGTTTGCAGGAAACCTTGTTGTCAAGGTCTTCCTGCACAGGTCCCTTGAGCTCACCTTTCCCTTTTGCCCCTAATTTCTCCACATTAATGTTCTCTAAGATGTGTTTTTTTTTCATTTTTCCCATGTATTTGTGATCTCACAGTGATTTTTAAGTGTCCTACTTGTGAAGGATTGACCTAGATAGACATCAGGTACATTAAAACGGACACAAAAAAGAGTCCTCCCTCTAAAATAGTTTATATTTCCTTTTAAGAGGCTGCCAGAGTGTTTGGTTGGTTGTATGAACCAAAATCATCTTGATTGATTTCTTCAAACCAAGACAGAAGCAGCTTTTTAAGGCAGTAGATAAAGGTCAAGAGATGCTGCTTTCAAGCTAGGATGTGGATGGAAATCAGTAAGGACAAGGCAGCAAAAATAGGACAGTTCTAATGTGTTGCCTCAGAATGTTGCTGTTAATAAAGGCTGTGATAAACACAGATCCTCAAATGACTCATATGTTAATCGTGTTGTGTTTGCCTGTGCACTGGGCACACTGAAAGCACTCAGTTTCTGTCTATGTTTGAATACATGGAAGAATTTCTACTGTAGTCTAAAAGGCAACATTGTCTCATTTCTGAATTGTTAATAAATGCGTCACCCCCCAATCCCTTTTTATCTCTTTTCCCTCTGTCTTCGCCACCCTCTTTCCTCCCTATCTTCATCCTCACGAACAAGAATATTGATGATGTTTCTTGCTCGAGCGTCACTGTTTCCACCCTATCCTCCTCTTCCGTGTAACACATTGCTCTTAGTGACAACTTCAACCCCCAATCCTTGTCCTAAACCAGAAAAGTTGCACTTAATTTAAAAGACTCTTGTATTAGCCTCACTCTCCCATCATCCCTCTCCTCCTCTTCCTTGACATGTACAGTTACTCTTCTCTCTTCCCCTCCATTACGCCTCCCACTCCTCCTTTTCCTCAACAAGGACAATTACTCTTTGTTTCAGTCTCTTGTGTGAGTCGGACTCTTCCGTCCTCTCTCTCCACGTCTCTGTAGAGCAGGGATTTCTGGGCCTTCAGGCGGCAGGCCAGCGACATGAAGATGGAGTCGACGTTCTGACTCTCCCTCGGGTCCTTGGCCGACGTCTCAAACAGCAGCATGTTGTGGGCGTCAGCGAACTTCAACGCCATGTTGGAGGGGACCTGGGAAAGCACAAATGTTTGGTTGTAAAGCCTAATTTAATTTAAGAGAGTAAATAAAGTATTGTATTGTTGGGGTATTTGAGTACACTCGCCTGTATTTGGTTCACAAGGTCACACTTGTTTCCCACCAGGACTCGAGGTACTGATGCTGACACCCGATGGCCATTACACTCCTGAAACACAACAGAATATATCTTTATAAACTTTATAAACTATGTGAGCATGATATATGAGTATAAATATGAACAGCTGGGTGGAAAAAAAACCTTCCCACCCACCTCTTAGTTGTAACTACAGGGAATTTATGACAGCAACAATATGTCCCACTTGGCGAAAAGAACTGCCGATGCCAAAATGGCTGGCGAGCCACAATTCCCAACAGCTCAATGCCAATAAAATCCTCGTAGAATCGATTCAGCCAATTGAAAAGGAGCTATAAAACCTGCACAGTATGTCTATATCTACATGAACTGTTAAATATGAGGCATGATCAATAAAAAACATTTTATTCTAGCATTGCTGCAATCATCTTGGAATAGAGCACAAAGGTCTTTAAGTCATAAAAATCTTATTCTTTCCATTTTACTCATGTGGTATAAATTCAGCATTAGTCACACACAGGTTTACTTCTACAATAACTAAGCTACTACTTCTACCTCTGCAACTAATAAAACTTCTATCTATATACTGTTTAACGTAAATAAATTTTACTTATAGGAAAGCACAGGTTTGAGTCTCCCAGGAAGCCACAGTAAGACACATGCACAATACAGGGGAGCCTGTTAGTGGCTAAACTAACTGGAATCCAGCTGGTAATTAATACTATTAATTACACTTTGCTTTTCTGTTATAAGATGCAAAAATGTCTGCCATGAAAAAGCTCTATTACTGTTATTTTCACTACAACTACTACTGCTATCACAACTACTACTAACTACTAACTTTGAGACCACTACTATTACTATTATAACCACCTAATTCAACTACTTGCAAGTCATTTATTAATATTATTTTTATTATTTAGTATTACTACTGCTGAAACAACTTCTGTTCTATGGTATAGTAGCCACAATGTCAGTGGAGGTATTGGTAGAAATAATGGAATTCAAACTTGGAAGCTGCCCAGTACAAACACAGTGTGACCTGCTGGCCACTGAACAGCTCTACTGGAGCTGTTGGGGTTAGGGGCTTTGCTCAAGGGCACCTCATTAGCGGTAATGAGGGAGTGGCAAGTGCTGCTTCTTTACTTTCCCCACCCTGCAAACATTGGATTGGAAATATTTTTCCAACAGATACAACTCCACAGACCACTTTGTATAATTAATTTTCTAAGTGATCAGATGGGCTTTGTTGGCTTGCTAACAGCCGTGGTTGGGATTGTCACAGCATTAGCATTCAGAAATGCAAACCATGCTTTGTGATGGGAAACATCACTGTGTCAACCAAAGGATAATAAATAGTCTTTGGGAATAACCAGTGGGAACACTTGGAACTGCAGAGAGGCTGATAATGTTCACGGTGCCAAAAGAGAACGAAAGAAAGTGTGCTCCCTGTTTCCACACTGGCATACATTATTTAGTTGTCTCAAAATGTATTGTTACAAACCTCTATCCATGTCTGTAGGTTGCGGAAGGAAGTCATCTTGGTGACGTCATACACAAAGACCACTGCATGGACATTGCGGTAGTAGTGTTCCACCATGGATTTACGAAAGCGCTCCTGGCCTGCTGTGTCCCATACCTGCACCTGTGGAGATAGACAAGATTCATCTGTGTTTTGATATGCCTGAGGAACACTGAATATCTGTAGAGAGTTTCCAGGCAGTATTTAAGCACCGTTTACGATACGTGATTTTAGCCTGAAAAAAAGACCTCCTCAGATACAGACACAGACATAACGCTGAATAAACAGTGTTGGTGGTTTACAGAACAGGCTAGTCATGAACCACAGGCAGTGCTAGATTTGGATGTCAGGGAAATAACAGCATCCAGAGCAACAGAATCCAGACATCCAAGCTCATTATGTTTAAATGTTTTATTAATCTCAGTGAATTAGTAGACAACTACAGATATAAATCTGGCTACAATGAGTTGTCTAAGCCTATAAGCGCTTACAAGAACCAGTACATGGAGCTGTACCATGTCAACAGGAAAGAGTGCTAAGATATTCCTGGTTACAGGGTCTCAAGAGAGCACTGCTCTATAGCACGATGGGCTTTTCTGCTTGATCATTAATAAATGCCTCAGGCAGGTCCACGCTGTGCTGTGTACAGTATTCGATGTAATGTAATATAAATGTAGTGACACATGCCCAATTACAAGTTTAAAACCAAAATAAAGCACCACATTGGATTCATAAAATAAAACACAACATTTGGACGCATTGCTGGCTGGGTAGCCAAGTTCATCAAATGTTTGGAGTGTTCTTCACTGCCATAGCCATCAGGTTCCAGTAACTGACTGCATGTTTTCACTGCGTGTTCTCAGCTTATTTCATATTTTGAGGAATGTGTGAGTTCTGTCAAACCACACCACAACTCAAAGGCTAATTAGCTCTAGCTAAATAAACCGCCGTTTGCTTCCAGCACTGTATCCTACTTGACAAAACAATGCAGCTGTTCGTATTATAGGGTCAGATTTAGCCCGTGCACCTGTGCAGCATGTGGAGCTTCTCTACACCCGTGCCATAGCTAAATTGCAGCATTTGATGGTTCAGATTTTACCACAGGGACGGAGAGGAAGTGAGCTTTATTTACCGCCTCAGTGCAAGAGAAGTACGGATATTGATTTCACCTAAAAATAAAATTCAGTCATGTCTGAATGCAGACAGAGTAAGAATTATTTATGGCTCATGCTAGGTCACATTATACCGTACTGTATATTGTGCTCAAATTGTCGGCTTGCTGAATGTGTAATCAGCAGCACTTTGTATATCAACATGGACAACTCTCAACAGGCTCTCTATGGCCTGTAGGGACAAAGGACCAGTGAATTATCTGCTATTACCATTTGAAAGGACAGGGCCAGCTATTTAGCATCAGAGGTTGAATGCTGCATTTAATGCTGCTCAAAACATCAAAGCTTGATCTTTGTAGAACACTGTGTGCCCCATAATTTCACAGCAAGATGAGCAAATTTATAATTCACAAATTAGATCCCACAAAAATGACAATACATGCTCATCAGTCTCATGTTGTTAGAGATTATTTAAAATCTATTTATACATTTTTGGCTTTGTAATAACTTGAAATTGTGTTTTTCAAAATCAGTGGCAGAGGAAGAAAAAATATGTCAAATTTATACAAAATCATTGTAAAATCTCTGCATGTGTCAACAGCTATCAAACGTTACACATCGTTCATTCAGTGAGATATCTTGGCTATATGTCACGCAAACTTGAGAATCCTTACCATTATTCTGACACCTACTCTGTACATCTATACTTAGTGCTCTACTCTATTTTTAGTCCTCTGCATTTATAACATTTGTTGTTGCCCATCTCTGTGCTGCTTTTATTCACCTGCCTGAGGACTGGAGAGGAAAGTAGTCACTCAGCTAGATGCATATACAAGTAGACTGAGATAAAATGTATATGAGTTAATCCTGTTATATGTACACTGTGAGTGGAATTATGACCTGTACTGCCATGAAATTGTTTTATAAGCTCTTTAAACCACTACTGCACCAGTGAAGCAGCTTAGTTTTTTACTCCAACAATCAAAGAGGCCACTGTAGAGGAAATGATATCACCCTCTGGATGACACATAAATACACACATTTTTCACTTCCTGTCTCAGCTAAATGATCCTGGAGCCTGCTGGATCTAAAACACCTGCCTGCTTGTAAACCTCCAGTTCGCACAATAAAACCATCAGTGACGACTAGTCAAATTATATGACACAAAATAAAATAAAAGAAATGCTCAAAAGTGCCATATCTCTGAATACATAAAGTATTCCTGCTTTACTGTTAAGTCTAGCTTGCTGTTAGCGGCCCTTGCGGCTGCAGTGTTTATTACATCCTACAGCAAGTTTTCATCATTATGATGCTGGTCATTCTTCTGTGCAAGTGGGAATTAAAGGTTATCACCAAAACATCATCGAGGCATCGTTTGACGTCCATATTTGACTAGTGGTCATCAAGATATCTTACTCTGGACCAAAAGCACAGGCAGACCAATTCAAATGACCTTTCTTGGTCACATTAGCATGTCAAAAAATACAAATTTTCAATGATAGAAAAAATAAAGGAGTTTTAAAGGTCAAAGGGTCAATATAAAAATTTCATGACACGATTATCCCGGCCAAAATAATTGCAATTCATGAAGTCATCCTGATAATTAGCAGAATATACTCTATTCTACCCTTAAAATGTGACTAAAACTTTCTTTCACTTTACCTTACATTTTGTTATTTGTTATTTTATTGTATCACAGATAGGCACCTCATCTCCCTGTCCTTCTTTAGTTTGGAATCCATAGTATTTCCCCACATCTGGTTTAACCTTTTTATTGTGTGTGTGGGGGGCACAAAAAGCAGCTAGTAGGAAACTGTGTGTTGATGAGCTGTCAATCCCTCATTAAAGGTTAACTTCAAGAGGAACAAGGAGAAAACAATGGCTGCGCGAGTTAATCACTGAAAACAGGCTTAATCTAGATAATAAAATCTTTACTTATTGTATTTATTACTCTACCAGCATTTACCAGTGTTACCTCACCAGCTATGAAGGCAGCAACAAAGCAGAAAAGAGCAATAGAGAGTATACAGTGCAGGATTTGTTCACATTTACATATGAAAAAGTGATATTTTCACTTTCTGACGCTGCTGATCATACTGTATGTGTATCGCATGTGTTTTGAAGAATATTTAAATGATTCAGAGACGCTGACCTAATAGGTGTTCAGTGTTTGTGAGTCAGCATTAGGGGGCATCTGGAGGTTGCAGACAGACTGTTCTACTGAGAAAGAAAGTAAGGGGGGAAGGGAGTCTACTCATGCATGTGTATATGTGAGGATGCACACACACACACTTACTGGTCCAGTGAGAAAGGTGAAGATACGTACATTAAAAGAAATCTCAATAAAAAGCCTAATATTTAGTCCCAGACTATCCAAACGAATGAGAAATGAGATGTGAGTAAACATATCAACTAAAATCTTGAACAATACTATTTGATATGATACGTAGCCTGTTACTATACCGTTGCACTTAAATTGATCTGCTATGCCAATATGCATTGGTGCTGAGGATGTTGGAAATCATTAAATTTTAATTCAGCAATTACTGTGACACCATTACACACTACTAAAACTACATTTGTTGCTGCTAGTGGTTTTATTCGTGTAGAATCTGTTGTGACTGATACGAAAAGCAGTGGGTTGTTGATTTTATTTATCGGTTCAAAACTGTTGAAAGTGTCATTTTTCTGACAATATAATGTCGTTTTTAACCCCGCCTCTTATTTTTAAACTATATCTCGATTAGTTGATTGTTTGTTGTTCAAGAAATGCCATGAAACTGTGAAAATTGTCTTTAAATTGCTATTGTTGTCCATTGTTGTCCAAGATATTCAGTTTACCATCATATTACACAAAGAAAAGCAACAAATCCATAAAACTAGAACCAGGCAGTGTTCTAGCTTTTGCTTGAAAGAATTACTATGATTAGTAATAACTGTCTTTCAATTTTCTATTGAGTGACAAATCAAATCTCTTCAGTTCTACCTGCATTATAGATATTTTGTTTCTGGCCCTGAGATGTTTTCAGAGGCAACAGCATTTAAAGCAGCAGCCTTGTAATTTGGATTTAATCGTTTTCTAAATAACAAATGATTAAATTCAGGCTGAATGCTTTGCCAGCAGGGATTTCATTATTTTTTAGGAAACACTTCAAACATCTATTGTCAAGCTCCAAAGAAATATGTCCCCCAAACACCTCTCTGGCCATACAAATCCCATTCATTGTCATGTTTTCTTCCAAGGACACCCACAGCCTTTGTTGTCAGAAGGCGATACATTTCTCCAACGTGAAAAAAAATACAATCTGAATAGAAAAACATCCCTAAAGAAAAGTGTTGAGGGTCGTTTTGCTGAATAAAATGAAAGAATAGGCCCTGTGTGATCCACTAGCTGAGTTTGCAGCTGATCAACAAAAAGAGAAGAGGAGGAGGAGGAGGGAGGAAAGGGGGGAGGGAGGGAGTGAGGAAACACCACTAATCAACATCCAGCCCCTCTGTTGCTTTTACCTTGATAGTCTCTCCTTCAATCTCCACCGCCTTCTCCCTGAAATCCACACCGATGGTGGCCTCGGTCTTATCGGGGAAGCTCCCCCCGGTGAAGCGGAAGGTGAGGCAGGTCTTCCCCACGTTGGAGTCCCCGATGACGATGATCTTAAAGATCCGCGTCTGGATGCTCAGCTCCAGGGAGGAGGTGCTGAGATCCACGGAGGATGTGAGGCTCGGGGCGGCATCGTTGCTGCTGCTGGCGCGGCTCCGGCTGGCTCTGTGTAAATCCATGGAGGATGTCAGGATGGTGACATTGTCGTCCGCCCGGTTTCTTCGTGCGATTCCTCTCCCACCTCCTCCTCCTCCTCCGCCGCCGCCGCCCGGAACTCGGGTCTCCTCCTCCGGGGAATCGTTGGTCATTGTGCCGGAGGAGGCGATGCGCAAGTCGGTGTGCGTGTGTGGAGAGGAGAGGGGGTGGACGGATGGATGGATGAGTGAAGGGAGGGGAAAGGAGGAGGAAGGAAGGAGGAGACCAGAGATGCAACAATACAAACGATGCGCTCTTTCAGCAGCTGAGTGTGGCCTTAAAGGGAGAAGCATTGTAAAAGACAGGAAGATAAGAGTTTATTTAGAATAAGTTGTATTTTTCCTTTTGAAAAATGTAATAGCTATGTAGGAAGAGGCTTAATGAATACAAGAAAATTATTCAAACCTATTATTTTATTAACACCAGATTAAAAATTATTCTATTAGGGACAATAAACTGGTTCCATATATTCAAGTAAAATATTATAATGTTACAATTGGAGAACCGAATGTAATAGAAAGTGCCTTAAGGTTATAAACTCACCAGTGACTCACACAGATCTCTATAGAAAATCTCTAGAGAAATAAATACAGCAGTTAAGTATAATAAGATCAATATGTGAGTCCCACAGACACATGAGCAGTGGCGGATAACATTGTATTTTTGCTTCTATACATGTTATGTAACTTTATTCTTCTACTTCACTACATTTCAGAGTGAGATATATTGTAGTTTTTACTCCCCTGTTTTTATATTGAGATTGTAAATAGAAAAAGCACCGTATTTGGGGCTCTTTGCAAATACAGATTTGAGTAGCAAAACTGCTTTCTTTTCCCATTAATTATGCCACAACCCACTCCACCTCCACCAGTATTACAATACAGTTTACATCTCTATTAATTATCTAATAATGCAATATATAAAATATATAAATACATGGGTCATTTTTTCCATAGAACAATCGGATGAGTATTACATTATTTTGCTAATAATATTTTGTGCCTTTATTTTTTGACTATTTTGGACCTTTGGGCTCATGTAACGAAACTTGTAATGAAATCTGTTTTACATTGTTATATCGGTGCTTTTACCTAAGTAAAGGATCTAAATACATGTTCTACCTTTACTTTATGACATTACTAGTAACATAAAGACCTAGATGTCATTATATAAGGATGCTATTATGAGTCACAGATAAAGTAGCATTATAATTTTTATAGTGGTAACATAAGAGATGGTATTGTTGATTGTTTCATTAGCAGGCTGTACTGTGAGTTTATTTTCTCCATATAAGTGGTGCAAAACTGATGCATCAGTAGTTCTGGACTGATGTTCCTGAAACCTTTCTAATCACCAACCAATAGACGAGTGTGATTCCAGATAACGAAAAACATTTCATCCACAGAAGCTGTAAATATAACGCAGCTGAAATACTGATACTAAAAACACTGTGGGTGTAACTGTCAGTGGGGGGTTTTAACAGAGAGAGAAAGTGAAACAGATTTTCTCACACTATCTAGTCATGTGATCTGATTAGCTGGTCATATTATCACATTCCATAAACCAACATGGCCGTAATGCAACAGATCCTCACCAGGCTCCAGACCTGATTAGTTCGTCCTTAAAGGTACAAAGAATAACAAAAATACCAGATATTTTCCATTCAAATCAACATTAATACAAAATCCTTTATTAATTGCCTTTTAATGAAGTAATGACAATTACATTAAAGACAATACTCACAGTTTATCAATATCATTTGTTATTTTCCAGTCTTATTTTTCACACCAAGCAAGTGTTGTGATGCAGAATCAATACCAGCTCGCCAGCCTGGCTACAGAGAGGGCTGCTGGGTATAAGATATCCAGAACTAGAGGACAAACAGCATAGAGCTAACACATAATCTTACAAACATCTTAGGTTAGGTTGTGCTGAGTAGATGTAAAATGACAACTTGAGCCCAGCCTCTCTGTTGAAGCGCATCTAGCTTTGTTTGTATTGTAATTAGTGAAATTATTTCCATTTCAAAGTTACTGAACAGCCGAGTTGGTTCTAACAGGGATTAAGTGTCTTGCTCAAAAGCTCCTCAGCAGGGAGATTTTTTTCCAGTCTTGGTTGGCTCATGCATAATGAACTCATTATGTCTGCCACTCAAAGACAGCTATAAACAGGAGTTTTGCATCCAGATTTTGAAGTTTTTAAGATGAAATTGGTGGCGTATTTATCTGAATTATGAGTTATGATTGATTGTAACAGCAGTACAAAGTCATTTAATCTCCATTTTGACTCAGTCTTTAGCTGTGCCAGCTGCTCTTTGAGGCTGATGGTTTTTTGCAGGTATAATGCATGTTCAGCATTTTAGATTAGCATGTTAGCATGCTAATATTTACTAATTATTCGGTAGTTTGGTAAATACATAAACAAAAACATTGGACAGAAATTGTTGATGAGAGGTCAACGGATCATTAATGTTGTTACAATTCTTTCTCAGGGGTACATCTACCAAATGGCAATCTTCACAGCAGCCGTATAGACATGAAATAGTAGGGTAAACACAGGTGTTACCAATGATAATTACTATGGTTCTGTTCCATTTAGTGTATCAGAGCCTTTCTAGTGAGAAAACATGCACAATAGCAGCACCCTGACTCCATTTGACATGAATGGAATGGGACCAATCACTATCATTAGTAACATCTGTGTTTACCCGACTATTTCATGTCAAAATGGCTGCTGTTGTAAAGACAGAAGAAACAAAAATGTCAAGCTCATGACTCCCTGATGACAGTAAAAGTGAAAGGATAATCAAAGTCATTAGTATGCATCCTCTGTGGATCACTAATATCCGCACCATTTCATAGTAATATTTCAGTCTGGACCAAAGCTGTTGACGAACTGACTGACTGAAAAAATAATATTATAACCATAGTATAGACCGCTTCCTTCCCAATGTCACCATGTTTCTCCCAATTATCTCTCTCTTAATGCTCACAATTAGCTTCCAGTCTGTCAGTGGTGCAGATTCCATCCATTATGTTAATTTCTCATTACTGGAAGTGTCTAAAATTTCCATGTGGACAGATTTTAAAAAAAGAAAAGCTATATGGAGGTATGTATGGAGGTATGAAACAAAATGCAAGAAATAAATGAAAGCAGTGTCACTCACCGCATGAACTGTAGCTGTGCGAGATGCTGTCGTGTGTTTGAGCTGCTCTGCTTCCATTTTGACCAACAGCAACAGAAAAAAAACACAAAACACACATACAGAATGCACGCATACACACACTCCCTGTCTGTTGATATCAGACTGAAATGCAGACAGAAATACCAAACACTTGTCCTGTTTTTCCTCTCTAAGTCAATGTCTCTCTCACACACACACACACACACACACACACACACACACACACACACACACACACACACACACACATACACACAGGCACGCCACTCTGTCTCAAACAATCCCTCACACACAATCTCTTCCTCACAGACATACACTCTTTCTCTCAAAGAGACACACATAATCTCTTTCTCACACACACACACACACAACATGCACACACTCTTGCTGTATGGAACAATCCTAACGCTTGTGTCTGACAAAGCGCCCTTCTTCCTCATTCAAAGACCTGTTTGTCTGGAAGCAAGTGTCAGTGGGACATTCACATTCTGGTGAACACAAACCAGCAGTGAAATATAGCTTGCATTTACATACATACACACATTTGGATACTTGCACACACACACCAAAATACTGTCCTGGTTTCACACTTTCATTAGTGGTTGTGGTACTATAAGCATGTCTGCTACAATACAGTAGGGTTAGGGTTGAAATCATTCATCATCGTCATCCTCCAGACTTTCTAATTTGGGATTTCCTTAGATGACTTAAACAAATACTGGTCATGGCTTCTTTGCTGCCATCATGCCACCTGATAAACTGACCAGACAGCAGCTGCCATTCCAGCTTTAAGAGGAATATGAATGGATGAAATAAGAAATCAAGTCTCTCTGTGTTATAGCTGACAAGACAGCTGAGACAGCGTCCACCATTTTGGACCCTCCAGCTTGCGATGGTGCAATTTTGTGGCCCCGTGACCATAAGAAAATTAACTCATTGCAGGATTGCATCAGAATGAACTGACTTCACAAGGAAATTTTGCTGTATTAAATGCTGACGTGACCAGGCCTTAACAGCTGAGATAAAGCAGCTTAAATGGAAAATTTGTGAATATAAAATCAGGCAACTGACTGATCAAAAAAACAAACAATACATACATGTATGTTTTATTTTTTACTTATAAATTATATACTCGCATATTTTTTATGTGCACCTTTGTTTTAACAGCTACTGTAAGCTCACAATGTAGCTATTATGAGCCATTATGTTCCCACCGTTAAACATTAATAAATGACATTGATACATACATTCGCTGATACACACTGTAGAGCAGCAATAGGGTGCATTTGTATCCTCATAGAAAATAGTTATTGCTCACCAAGTTCATAAAATATGGCACTTTATAAGTATGAATAGTCAATGATATACCCACTCCACTACTCATTACTTGCTGATGAAATTAAGTTCACAGAGAAAAGTCTCTAAGGTGTTTGTTGTCTATTTTGTAATGTGAGCAACTAAATATTTGCCATGAACCGCTGAAATCACTGTAAGTTATAATTCTACCAACACATAGACAATCGTCATATAAGGGGTACACTTACATTTACTGTAGATATATCCCTAACAAGAGAGAGGAGTCTTAAGTTATTACAGTTGCAGAACAAGCTGTGTCAAGTTAAAATAAAATTGCACTGCAAGGTCAAATGTTACAAACTATCTGTATGGGGAATGTGAAATGGAATCAATGGGCTGCAAAGGCACATCTCTGAACAGGCAAAAAAAGACATGTTTGTCCAAAATGTAGGCTTAAAAGATGCTTGCAACATTTGCACCATAAAACAAAATACTACAGTTAAAAATTACAAAAGGTGAATGTTAACTGTGAAATCTACATTTCAAACTTCATTGTTCAGCGGAAACTGCTTTGCAAGGTATCTCAAGCCAACAGTCAGGTAGTTTCAGGTCTCTCTCCAGAGTTTCTCTATTATGCAGTATATTCAAATCTTCATGGAAAAACCTCTGTCCAGTCTTAATTCTATTGTGAGATTTTCCCATGTAATAATTATAATTACTCAGACAACTTGTAGGTAAGTAGATTTAAAGTCTGTGCCGAGTGCGTTTTTAGCGTTGCATTTGTAAATGCCAGAGTTCATGAGTACGGGGTTCTGTATGACCAGACTTCCCTCCTCTGTCATATGAATCCCCCCCTGCACTGTGAACCGGCTGTGTGGAACCAGTGTTGTGCGTCCAGGCAGCGTCCATGAAATATCCGGCTTAGGAATACCATTTGCAACACAGTTTAATGTCACTGGTGATCCCCGGCTGACCCTTGTTATTGAGGTCAGCGTACTGGTGATGCGTGGTGGGAAAACCATCACTGCAACTGGGTAGGATAGTGTAGATGAGCCAAAAGAGTTGGAGGCTTTACAGACGTAGGTTCCTTTGTCAAAAGTGGCGACGTGCCTGACTTGGAGGGTCCCATTGGCAAGAAAAGATACCCGGCTAATGGTTTGAGGTTTGTCCAAAACAAGACCATTAGGTAGGGTCCATGTGATTGATGGCTGTGGCCAACCATCCACAGTACAGGGCAAGTTGAGATTGAGGCCATAAGTGATCTTCATCCCACCTGGAAAAGTGAAATTATAACAGTATATTTACAACAAGTATATTTTATGCAAAAATAATTGCTACAATAAAAATACAATGCAATAAAATTCATAAAAAATCATAAAATGAGGCATTATGGCCAGTCTTCCCATTTATTCTTAATATACCTTTAGGGCATTGTCTAACCTGAGTTGTTTAGTCCTTGGGGTGAAGTTTTAATTGATTCTGTAAACTGATCACATTTTTCCTCTTTTCTTCATTTCATGTGTTTCTGTATGAGTATTGTAGGCAAAGTGGTGTGAACGGCCGTCCTATGAGTGGGGGGGGGGGTTCTCTAGTGATACTGTAGGTCCCACTAACCTGAAATTTACTGTCCCATAATTATGCACTTATTTTCATAATTTACACTCTTTTTTTGCAGTATGCGTGAATACGGCACAGGTATGTGTGTGTGGTGAGACACCTTACCACACACTAACCCTAACCCTGACCTAACCCCTTACTGACCCTAACCCTGTTGCTTGTTTGTCTGCATCTTAATCTATAATACATTTTGTCTTGAGGGAAGTCCTTCTCTCTGGCTTTCACTGACTGCAATATAATGTATCATTTATTGAATCGGTAGGCTTTAGCTGGTTTTTGGTTGGCTCTTGAATGTGACGTTAAAGGGGTCATTGCAACTCAGAATTACGTTACGTTAAGGAGACTTCTGCTTCATGAATTTGAGATGAAAAAACATACCTGTAGATCCTCTGATCAGTGGCTTTCTACCCGCCTCCAGCGAATAACGTTTCTCTGCTTGTCCTGCAACATTTTTTGCCAGGCACCGGTAGACTCCCTTATCACTTGCAACCGGTTGAGAGATCTGTAGAGTTCCATTACCCAGATGATGTATGAAGCGTTGGAGTCTTGCACCAGGTATTAACATTGTCCCATTGGGTAGAAGCCATGCAAACTCTGGGTTGGGTTTGCCACGAGCAGGGCACTCCAGGCTTAATAGCCCACTGCCTTGCTTTATTGGTAAGATTTCAATATTGGGGACAGCAAAACTTGGTTTCTCAGCTACTGATGCCACGTCTAATTCAACCAAAAGTGAGGCTTCACCCAGACTATTTTTAGCCAGACACATGTATCTCCCTTCATCTGTTTTTCTCACCCCTCTCAGCTCCAAGCTCCCGTTCCGGTGGACTTGGAAGCGACCGCCCAAGTAGGGTGTTGGTAGGGAGTGACCATAAGGAGAAACCCACCAGACTCTTGGTTCAGGTTTTCCTTCCACTCTGCAATCCAGGAGCGCTGTTTGGTAGGAAATAGCCAAAACCTTTGTGGTGCTCTTCCCTTTCATACCATTGATAAAGGGTTCCTGTGGTTCAACTTCAAGTTTCATGTTTTTAACATCATCACCAGCAGAATTTCGTGCCACACAAGCATATTTCCCTTCGTCAGCCAGTCTTACTTTTCTCACCACTAACGTCCCATCGTCCATGATCTGAAATTTTTCTGATGACATTGATATCACATCATTTCTTGGTGAGATCCACATGATTTTTGGTGTAGGTTCACCTGTTGCCTGACAACTCAATTTAGCTGATTCTCCTATCTTTGCCATCAGCAGTGATTGTGATTTTAATTTAATTTTTGGAGCATTTGGTCCCACTTTGACGCTCACTTTTTTTTCATCCTTGCCCAGTTTGTTTTTGGCAAAACAAGTGTAGTCACCCTCATCTTTTTTGCCCATTTGTTGGAGAAATAAAGTTCCATTGCCAAAAATAACATAGCGGCGGTTGCGAATACCGCTGTCGTCCGACTGAAGGGCATTGTTGATCAGAGTTCCATCTGGGAGACTCCAGGAAACTTCTGGATCAGGGAGGCCTGTTGCAACACAGTCCACCTTAAAAGGATACAAAGGAGTGAGAATAAGTAGATGAGGTAGAGAAATAATTGTAAAGAGGAATCTAGGTTAATTTCTGAATGAAGACCTTATTGGTTAAGGGTAATTTTTATGTTTTCCATATGCCGTTTTTTCATTTGTCTCAATGACAATGTCTGTAGTGTGTGTGTGTAGTGAAACTCCATCTGAATGATAATATATTGTAAATAGGCAACTATATAAACTTTGTAACATGTTAATATGTAAATGTTTTGTTGACAGCTTAAAAAAATCTATTTGTGATGCTTTAAGATCCATTCATTTATCCATTATCTATGACCACTTACTAACCATATACTAGCCAATACAGGTGATATGGAAAAGCTGGCTCCCCATAGTTACCTGGAAATTTTCTCCAAAGGTGACCCTGGCCTGTGCAGCCCTCACGTGTTCGATTCTGGGAGGGGTCATTAACACCTCTACCTGAAAAAGCAAATACATGAAGAAATATGAGCACATACAGAAAATACTTTTAAAGGTCCAATGTGTAGGATTTACAGTTTTTCTCAATTGTTTACACACAAATACTGGTAGTTGAGACACAATGACCACAACATGTAACTCATGCACCAACCCCCTGAACCAATTCTGCTAAACTACAAGCACAATTCCTGCTTTACACTCAATTTGCAGTTCTAAAACACACTTTTTTCAAAAGACTACTCCCAATTCTCTGCATTTGGCACAATTTTCATGAAGAAAATATCTTGTTTTCACAAGGAACACACTGTCATTCAAAATTCTAAAGTTAATTGCCCTACTATGCACACTCATCACAAAGGCAAATACCTGTCACACACTTTTACAATTAGCAATCAGAGCTTTAGCATAAAAGGGCGACAGGTTAGGGTTAGATATAGCAGTTGATGCTTTTCATGGCTGGATTTTCCATTCTAGGCGATATTTCCCTCGCTGCTTGGCCAGGGAAAACATTGCTTGTGATGTGGATGAGGTGCCGTGGCCAGACCGAAACAGAAGAGAGGATGCAGCATAGCATTTTTTTTTTACTGTAACTGTATACAGTAAATTCTTCTGTTGTTTGGTATGTAGACCACTGTATGTGCAATTT